GAACATTCATTGCCAATGATTCCACGTGTCTGGGCCATGTATCAAAATCAATTAATCGACTGATGGTCAGGCTGTGTCCAAAGTTTATTTTTATTTCATTGATACTAGTATTAATATGGCCTATTATTAACCTTCTTATTGGTTAAGGTCAGTGAAAAGATCCTCAAGAAATGCTTTGAAGAAGTGGCTGGCATTGTTTTTGTTTAGATGTTTTTCTGTTTGATTTCATTCCTCAATGTTGGACCTTAACATTGGTTTCTATATTACTGATGCTTCTCCAGTAAATGTCCATATACATTGGAACATCCAGTGTGCACTTCTAATGCTAACAGAAATCATGAAATAAATAAAAGCCCTTATGTATGTGCAAGATCCATGTATGGGTGATAATGTTTTTGGTGGTATACCTAAGTGAAAATGAAGCCTATGCTGTAGAATAATAGAAACACTAAGCAAGACCTATTGGTAGTTTTATTTAGAATAGGAATTACTGACTCAGTAGTGGAATAGTATATTTTATTGATTCATTGGGACCAGAGGTTGGATTTAGGCCCGAGAATCCAGATGTTCCTCTGGGGAACCTGTAAAATAAAGAAACTAAGAGCATTAGACATTTTGACAACATTTAAGAGGGAAAAAAATCTCTGTCCTATAGCCTAAGTCCACATGTAAAATCATTGTATATGTTTACCCACAGCTGTTTTGCAGAACTGTTGAAAACTCATCAAAGTCTTGCATTATGCTCATTAGTGCTGGATGCACTTATTTATTTAATATTTATTTAGTTACTAGTGGTCCCCTGCCACGCATTGCTGTGGCCCAGTCTGGTGATATGGGAAATAAAGTAATGAGAAAATGTCTCTATGCTTGTGGGTAAACAGTATTTCTTGCTGTTTCTTTGCCAGTGTTGTGGAGTTTGTCTGGTTTGCCTACTCTGAAACATGCAACATATCATTGTCCTTCTTTAGGGGTCCCTTTCAAATCTCTGAAACTGCATCTGTCATATACATACATGTGTGTGTGTGGATGGCTGGATGGCCCTTTGGCAGGAGGGCTTTGATTATGTTTTTTGCTCTGGTGAAGGGAATTGGACTGGATGGCCTTAAGGCAGCCTTTCTCAACCTGGGGTTTGGGACCCCTGGGGGGGGGGTTGTGAGGGGGTGTCAGAAGGGTCACCAAAGACCACAAGAAAACACAGTGTTTTCTGTTGGTTATGAGGGTTCTGTGTGGGAAGTTTGCCCCGATTCTGTCGTTGATGTGGTTCAGAATGCTCCTTGATTGTAGGTGCACTATAAATCCCAGTAACTACATCTCCCAAATGTCAAGGTCTATTTCCCCCAAACTCCATCTGTGTTCACATTTGGGCATATGGTGTATTCATGCCAAGTTTGGTCCAGATCCATCATTGTTTGAGTCCACAGTGCTTTCTGAAGGCAGGTGAACTACAACTCCAAAACTGAAGGTCAATGCCCACCAACCCCTTCTAGTGTTTTCTATTGGTCATGGGAGTCCTGTGTGCCAAGTTTGGTTCAATTCCATTGCTGGTGGAGTCCAGAATGCTCTTTGATTATAGGTGAACTATAAATCCCAGCAACTACAACTCCCAAATGACAAAATCATAATTTTTTTGAGTGACGGTCACTCCTTGTGTTGTCAGACGTTTCCTTGGCAAAGACGTTTTCTTGGCAAAAGTACATGATTTCGTTCATGTACTCATTATGCACAGAGCATATATATATATATATATATATATATATATATATATATATATATATATGCTGCCCTTCTCACCCTGAAGGGGACTCAGAGCGGCTTACTATATATACATACTATATATTATATTATTAACATAGCACAACATCACAAGAATAAGATGGAATTGTCCTTCTGGTCCCTTCTCTCTTCACTCTGGCCCAGAGCAGCAGTAGGTGCTGGGGGCTCCCAACTGATGACACAGGCAGGAAACAAGATGGAACTGTCCTCCACTTGTCTCATTCAGATCAGTAGGCTTAATTGTACACAGTTTAGTGTTGGATTGGGTGGAGATACAGTCTGTAACCAACTCGGCTCTCTAACAAAGAGGTTGAATCATAAACCATATTTATGGAATATTGTCAGCTTAGTTCAAAGATGGCCCAAGGGGTGGTTCACAATTAATTAATATTTCCCATTGTATTGTCGAAGGTGTTCGTGGCCAGAATCACTGGGTTGTTGTAAGTTTTTTGGGCTACATAGCAATGTTGGCTGTATGGCCATGTTGTGCTGTATGGAACATGGTCATACAGTCTGAAAAATTTATAACAACCCAATTCTGCCCATGTTGTGTTGGATAAGAGTAACAGCCCATAATTCAGTCTTCACTTGACCAATCCACATACTAGAATTGCAGAGAACAGATGGGCAGAAAAACTGCTCTAGTAACTGCTGCTTTGTTTGTGTCAAAGAAGGGATGGGAGAAGGAACCCGTGGGGAAAATGTGACCAAGGTTCACTGTTGCTTATTGAGCAGAAGATCAATCAGGCCCAGCTTCCACAACCTTCATGCATGTAATTTTGAGTTATCTGTATTTGCATAATGCCCTTGACAAAAATGGGATGTGATATTTTGCCACAGAATGAAATCTATCATGAGAAAGAAATCATTCCATGTCACAATTGCTTCTTTCTTTGTTGCATATCAACAAATCCAATAACAAATACTAAGAAGAAAATGTTTGGTCCATTTGACCTTTCCCAATGTAATTTACCTTTAACAACTGTCAATTTTATGTTTTTATTACCAGGGTGCTATGAAGCATCCCAGTAAATGGATAGACAATTACATTAATAGGCACCTCAGTCAGTAACTCTCAAATAAGTCAAAATGGCAGTGACTCAGACTGTTCTATAATAATGTATTTCAATAATTTGACAAGAAATCTGTAGCTGGGGAAAATAAATACTGCATTAATAAATGCAGGTTTGTAAAATAACAAAGCATTTATTTAGTTTTTTATTTTCTTGTAGTTCTATTAAAATATTGCTTCAAGCAGCTTAACATGAAACTTTCTGTTATTTGTAAGGACCTAATAATAAAAGACTATTTTAATTTACATTTCTGGGGAGCATTATTTCCCTCTGTGGAAAGTAGAAAAAGGGGCAGGGACAATGTCTTGGAAGAGGAAGTGGGTGAGCTGTCCTAAACGCTGTGTGTGATAATGTTTTAGTGCAAATGGATGCTGTTATCCCATAATGGTTCTGAAGATGCACAAGCAAGGAAAGAAATCCTGACTTAATAGCATTTCTAGAAATAATGCTATTGTTGTGAGAAAAAACCTTACTCATGCAACAAACTTCTGAGTTAATCAAACCTATCAGTTCTATTGATGGAATAGAACCAGAGATGACAACCTTGCCATATACTTTGAAGAGCTTCTGAGAGTTGCTGGTAAATAAGGTCTTTCTAGAGCTTTTTGGTAAATGAAGTTTTTCCTTACTAGGATTTTACTGTGCCATGCTGGTACCAAATGAGAGACTCCCCCCTGGGCACACAGAGGACTGGGCGACTTGGAAGGTGCTGAACAGACCGCTCTGGCACCACAAGATGCAGAGCCAACCTTCAGAAATGGGGCTACAAAGTGGAATCCTCAACATGCAAGTGTGGAGAGGAGCAAACCACTGACCACTGCAATGCAACCTGAGCCCTGCCACATGAACAACGGAGGACCTTCTTGCAGCAACACCAGAAGCACTCCAAGTGACCAGATACTGGTCAAAGGACATTTAATCAACTACCAAACTCACAAATTTTGTATTTTGTCTGTTTGTCTGCTTTGTTCTGTTAAAAATGTAATATAACTGACTGGTTGCCCTGACACAACAAATAAATAACTGTGCCATTACTTAATTAATATCATTTTCTGGTGTGTATATGGGTGTTTCTGTATCTAAATTTTGTGGGCCCCACCCCTCCCCAATACCATCATATTTGGCATGTAAATTTTCCTGAAAATTAAAAATGAAACTCAGAAAAACATATTCCCATACCCGCAACCTCCAGTCTGCTTTTCTCACCCACATATCAACTTCCAGGTGCCTGGAAGTGAGAGTGCATCACTTTTCGTTATCATTTTGGCTGATATTTACAGGGTAAGTGGAGAAGTGCAGCCGTGGCAGAAGAAAGGAGAAATTGCCCCTTGATTATTATGTAGTTGATCCCTGCCTAGTTGGGAAATGTGGAAAGATTGCCTTCGATCAGCAACTTTGTTCTTCTTCACTCTGCTTTCCTTGAATCCATAACACTGGCCAACAGAACTTAAATGCAGGTTTCAGGGTTAGTTAGACATCCAAGAATGACAGGAAAAGGTAAGGAAGAACAGAGAGAAAAAAATCTGCATTATAGAGGAGCCCAGAAAATGGTGCTAGCTACTAATGCTATAAAAAGTGCTTAAATGTTTACATCTTGTTCTATGTGTAATGAGTAACATTATATCAAGGGCTCAAACCATAGCATGTATTAAAGCATCACAAGAAATACACATAGCCACCCAGACTTTTTGTCTGTACAACAGTTTCCAGATATTAAAGAAAAGGACAATTTTAGAATGTGTCCAGAATCCAGTTGATTAATCTGAATTAGAATAGACCAATTGAATTAATTGTTGAATTGTGAGGCTAGATAGATAGATAGATAGATAGATAGAGAGAGAGAGAGAGAGAGAGAGAGAGAGAGAGAGAGAGAGAGAGATAGATGGCTCTAATTGATTGAATGGGTGTGCTCTGGTCAGGACTGACAGTAGGGTTTTGGCTGAAGTCTATTGGTTATTCCCAGTTAAGAGTGGATCTATTGAATGAAATGCTGAATGATCAGTAAAACATAAATCAGCTCCTTACGCATCTTCTCCACATGGTAGAAACAATAAGATGACCATCAATATTGGTTATTTATCTTACCCATAAACCTAATGAGAGACAAGCCCGACACAGATGAAAAGAGCTTTCCCACTTTTTTGAAAAACAATATTGTTTGTCCAGAAAGAAAGAAGTTCTTTATTTTGAAAAAGATCAACATGATGTAATTGTTGCCATTTAAGGACATTAAAATTTAGATACATGTGAAATACAAGAAAAATGACACAGCGCATTAATTCATTCTTATATGATCATCGTTTTTGTCTTTTTTAGAACAGTAGCACTGACATAAACCAGTTCTAAAGCATTCCCTTCAGACCCTATCCAAGCACAATTTCCTCATAGAAGAATGCTCTGTAAATACCAGTTATGTCATAAAGCTTATGAGTTGTTATTCATTTTAGTAACTGTATAAAATAAATATCATTTAGCTTACTTTGTTTTCATTTTCTTTGTAATGACAACTTTATATTATTTTTCCTACTTACCATGTAAGAAGTTGCTTTTTGCAAACTTATTTAGAAGTACTATGATATCTCTGGAGATATGCGGTTACTCTCACTTCAGTTAGAATATTTATGAGAAAATCAATCCTCTCTTAAATGACATGTTATTTTCAGAGCACAGAAACCCCGTAGTTGTGTTATTTGGATGGGCTATGATGTTGGAAACTTTATCTAATTAACCATATCTAAAACAGGGGTGGAAACAGTAAGGCCTTCCAGCTGTTGCTGGACTAAATCTCCCAGAAGTCCTAGCTGGCATAGAAACAACATATGTCTGCACTTTCCCCATGTCTGATATGACAAATGGAACCCAAACAAAATGGACTACATTATTAGCCAAGATGATTTTTTTCAATGTTTATTTTATGATCCTTTGCCCTAGAAGACTGGAAGATTTGATCTGAAGATTAGTCTGATGATGCAGTATTGATTAGCCCAGATTTGTGGTTTCCAAACTTTCTCCAGATGTTTTGGACTTCAACTCCCAGAAGCCCCAGCCAATTTGGTCAACTGTCAGGAATTCTGGGGCCGAAATCCAAAACACATGGCGGACCCATAGATGGGAACCACTGGCTTATATTTTCCTCTTAAAGTCCTGTCTTTGTGCCATAGCCAGTGAAAATGCTATGTTTGGTTATGGCTATATATTGGAGTAGCTCTGAGTTCAATCTAGAGGCTGGCTGGCTTTAGAATTTAGGACATTCTGTGCTAGTGACAGGTTGACAATTCCAGAGAAAATCAATGTCAAGAATTTTTCTAAGTATCATGTATCTCATTATTGGAACAATTAATTCAGATCAGATAATTCTACACTATAAAATAAATAAACAACATTTTAGTGAGAGATGCTGAAAAAGATTATTAAGACTTCCACAAAAGTTACTTAAATGTAAAAACACCACATGAGATTGGACGATTTAGAATTTAGGGAGGGATCAAAGTTTAGATGACACTCTACATCAGAAATATCAGGAAAATTAGCTAGTAGGACCCCTTTTCTGATAACACTGGCCTTCTGTGAGCACCTGAAGACATAGCAGGACATTCAAACATATTTTCTAAGTGACACAATCAAAGCCATCTGGATTGCATGTTATTGTCCAGCATCTGAGTGTATACCCCAACAGCATGAATAAAAAGCACGCCATTTTTTCTCCCAGAGTAGCAGTCTTACAAGAGTGTCCAATTTAATTTCCGTTCTGTAAACTTGGAAAAAAGAAAGACTGCAGGGAAGATAAGAGGAACACACTGAGTGTGCAAACACTCTGACAGAAGCTGTAACCCCATTCGCTTTTAGCTAAAGTATTTTATTGCCCAGGAGACTCTTTCACTGAGGCATGTTAAAGCTTCTAGTGATGCCCACTACTTGCAGGGCACATGGGTACTATACCTACCATTTGAACTCAAAACAATATTGACACATACACATATACAATCTCATCAAGATATAAAAGTAATACAGTACTCTATGGGAATTGGATACTTTGTTCAGCCCTGAATATTTAAATGGATATACAGGGTGGGAAATGTCCAGCAGTCCTAAGGCCTCATTGTTCTTCCCTGCATCACCTGGAGCTGTATAGTTCCACTGTTGCCACTATACTGGTTCAGTTATACAGAACATGTACCTTGTTTTAAAGCTGAATTGGGATTCTAGGACCAAATATCAACTTCAAAACAAGGACTGAGATCCTGCATCACAGGCTGCAAAGCTTATATTTGCAATGTCAGTGCAAAATCACTGACATAACATGCAATAGTGTTACAGAAATCCATACAAGATGTCCTGTTGTACAAAAGTGTTCCAATAACATAATAGGGCACCATAAATGGTAGAGACTTTTTTCTGGTAAGGTGTTGGATATCCATGACCTTTCAATGCCCTCCTTTCTGGATCCACCCATATTTCTAGGGTGATAGAAGCACAACCTCATTGGGCAACTTCGTTGGGCCAGGGCAGCCATTCTTGCAAAATGCTTTTCTGTTGCATATCACAACTGTTGAGTAATGGCCATGCTGCTTGCTCCATTTGCACAATGCTCTCAAAAGCACAGCTCTAACAACTCTTTCCCTTCTGGAAATATGATGGTTACACAACACTGCCATTCTAAACATTTGCAACCTGGTAAATTGGTTAATGACATCATTTGTTTCCAAAAGGATGTTAGCCATAGAATAAACTCCCAACAGATCTGCTTTATAAATTAATCACAAACCACACCAGTAATTTTAATTTAAATCAGGCATGCAAGATGCCTGATTTAGGACCAAACCTTCTTTCCATGAGGATTTCAGGGAAATGCTTTAGTTTAAGATGCTGCACACTCTTCACAGTACTTGTTTTAAAGTGAAATCACTCTGTTGTTAAGCAACCTAAATTTGGCAATAGTGGGGACTGAATCTTTTAGGCCATATGTTGCCAGTTCCTGTTGTAATCCTGTATCCATTGTTTAATTTAATGGGACTCATTCCGACACTTAAATTGCACAATATACCCAGTTCATAGCATGTAGCTAAGGTCTTTTTTTCTTTTCTAAGAAAGAATTATGAGCAAAAATTAAGTAGTAGACCCTAGACTGAAAAGGGAGCAAAACACAAATGTAGGGAGATCAAAATCTCTTCCTCCAGCTGCATTTTGTCCTGAATCTCCACCTTCCCATAATGTAGAAGTTGAGAAACAAAAACAAAACTCATATGTATATTTAAACTTTCCATCTGGGGTGTGCACTAGAAAATATGAAGGAAAAAGATTCACTTGCATGCTGTGTATCTAATGCATTATCTTTGGCCCTGATAACCCTGAAGAGACATGTTTAGGATTGCATGTTTATTTACAGGATGGGACCGAGCAACACTGAGTTCAATGAGACTAAATCCTAGGTAAATGCACATAGAACTATAGACAAAGGGCCATGAGCTTTTGCTTTTGCAGTTAACAACAAAATGACAAGAGTATTTCATTGTACCTGCAAAAGATTGAGCAAAACAAACAAATGTCCTGAATATAAAAATATGTGTCAAAAATATGTGTGAAATTGAACATGAATCTGTCTTAAATTGAAGGTGACCTTATAGTGCCCTCCATGACCTGGGCAAGATAATTAAAAAAATCCAAATCTAGGATAACATTTGCAGAGGATATTTCAGTCAGATGAACCATTAATACAGGGCACAATCTGGAACTGCTGTTCTTAAGGAAGTAATGTACCATTTTCTTTCATATGATATTGTTATAAATGCATGCATATTTAATGTTCAAGCTGATGCAAAGATTTGGTAGTAATAGACAGTCTCCAAGTTAAAAACAAGATAGGTTTGTTCTTAAGTTGAATTTGTATGTAAGTCAGAACAGATACATTTTTAAAGTATAACTCCAGCCACACGCACAAACACACACACAAAAGCTTTGGATAGCATAGGGAACGCTAGAATCTCATATGATCCCATTTAACTGTGGCACTATTGTCAAAAGAAAATGTTGATCCTCTTGAGGCATTTGAAGTCACCAAGGAAGGCACCAAGCTAACAGCATGAAAATTGAAATGACATTTTTTCAACAGGCTTTTGAAATTATTGTTCCAATTAGTTAATTTTCCAATGAGTTGAGAATCTCCACCCAGGAAATATCTTTTAGACACATTACCTTTTGTGGCAGTACTAGTGCCCCCATACTAGTAAGCTGTGATTTTGGAAAACTAAATGTGCATTCATCTGTTTGTGAAATGCACACCCATGCACAGCTGGGTGAAAATCATGTGTACATAATCGTGAAACCATATGCAATACACATGCACATCTATGAACAAGGCATATCCATGCACACTAGTAGCATAAATATGGAACTCTGCTTTCTCAATCTTGAATTGAAAGTGGCTGCTACAAATGGTAAGATACCAACAGGATTTCAGCTATTGTATTTATGATGAATGCTTTATTTAGAATGTATCCCATTGTATCCAGTGAGCTCTGTTTTCAGGTAAATTATCATAGGGTTCACACTAGCAGTGCTTAAATAAAAGTTACTCCAAGTAGAGTAACAATCTTCAAAATTCAACAAGGACCATCTATTTTCCTTCATCAACAGAAGCCTTTCACACCTAAGTCTCATTTTTTTCGATCATGGTTTGAATCCAAAGACAAAGTAGCAAAACTCTGTGGAAATATCAAAACTTTGCTGGGCTTTTAGCACCACACCTCCCAAAACCGTCACACCACCCACAGCCACACATGTGGTCTGAGAATGATGCATTATGGAGGAAATGAGTAGTAGTGGAACAATTCTGAAGGATTCTTTTGTGAAGGCCATGCAAACTATCTCTGGATCTAAGGCCCTAAACCTTTCTGATCCAATTTTCTTCATTTTTTTTGTAAAAAAAATCTACATATGTCAAATTATAAGTTTTTCTTCTTATTAAAAGCAATCAATCAACATGGCTACTAAATAGAACAGTGCAGAAAGGAATTCAGAATCATATTAAGGCTTATGTTTATACTGTATATTAATCAATGCAAATGCATGTATCATTTCTTTTGTCTTTCCTTCTCTTCTTGCTTTATTCATAAGTCATTTAAAATAACAGTATTGTTGACACTGTTGTCAAGAAGTACTAATATACTGTTATTTTTACTAATAAGGTTAGAGAAAGAATATTTCTCATTAGTGTGCCAGCGTCCTCCTGTGAAAATAATAAATTTTGCAATCAATCGTCTGCATTCCTTCCACGTAGTAAAAGATTCATTAGATTGAAAGAAGAAAGAAGCTCTTCTAACTACTGAGATCTGCATGCAAGGACCTTAATCTAGATCAGTGGTTCTCAACTTGGGGTCCCCAGATGTTTTTGGCCTTCAGCTTCCAGAAATCCTAACAGCTGGTAAACTGGCTGGGATTTCTGGGAGTTGTAGGCCAAAACACCTGGGGACCCACAGGTTGAGAACCACTGATATAGATAAAGATAGTGATATAAAAGAATGCCATTTCTTAGCCAATTATCTAAGAGCAAGTCTCCTCTGAACTCACTTCTGAATAGATATTTAGAGGATTTCAATGTGTCCCACTGAAAGCAGAAATATGATAATCAAAATAGAGGAAAGGAGAATGCTGATAACTTGCTTTATCCGCTTTCCCAGCAAACTAACTTAGCCTAGATCTGTATATGTGGCCACAAAAATGGAAATTTTAAGAAACGTGGAGGCTGGTGAAATTTGAAGAGCCATCCTTAGATGCATTCGGAAGAAGCTTTCAGGTAATATCTAGAAGGTCCGAATTGTTTTTGTTTGTTTCTGCAATGATCACCTGGCCTGATTATTTCATAATCTAAAAACTTAACTCTTCAAAGATCTGCAGAACCTTAACAGTAATATTTCAAGGAGTCAAGATCAAGAATGTTGGCATAGTTGTTTTTACTTTTTTTGAAAAAATGAATGCTTATAGGCATGAAGACTTCAGTGTGGGCAAAGAGCTCCATGACTTGCAAAGACAATCCCATTCACTTCTGTGGTTGCATAGATCCATAGGTACAAAGGGATTTATGTAAAAGAGTGGCTGCCTCCACTAAAATGAATGGGAACACTCACAGAAGTAGTTGAGGGTGCATCTACACTCTGGAATTAATGCAGTTTGACACCACTTTAATTGGCATGATTCAATGTGATGGAATCCTGGGGGTAGTAGTTTGGTGAAGCACCAGCACTCTTTGGCAAAAAAGAAAGGCTAAAGACCTTTTAAAACAGCAACTCCTATGATTCCATAGCATTGGGTATGGTAATTAAAATGGTGTTAAACTCTATTAATGGTGCAGTGCAGATGGGCCCTGAGTGAAACTGGAGTTATACAGGTAGTATTGGATCATGGGCCACTGAATATACAGATATTTACCCCATCAGTTTTCTTCTTTTGTTTTTTAAACATAGGATAGATATTATGTTTCAAGATTAATCAAATGCTTATCTCCCACACAAGTAACTAAGGAAAAAATATTAAATATTTAAATGTTTCATTTATAAAGACAGTAATATTTTAAAAGCTATCATGAAATCAAGCTGCTATATTTAATACATTTGTGTGTGATTCTGTCCAGCAGTTCATTTATATATAACTGCCCTGAGTAGATGCTAAATGCTGCTTAGCAAAATGGCCTTTAGGAATACTCCCATAAAGCTACTCAAAGTAATGCAATACATTGCAGGTATATTTACTTTGTGTTAAAGACTAGAAGAAATTAGAGTCCATTCTTTAATTATTCATACACACATTTCTACTGCATACATAATAAAACCAGGAATGATATTGAGAAGACTTAACTGTGCTTGTTGGAATGTTATGGGATTATGAGCAGAACCTTGCTGAAGGCATGATTTTAAATAGTGAAACAATTCACATACTGTAGACTATAAAAGACTATTGGTTTGAATTGTGTCCACGTCATTGTTTTTAACTGCTCACAAAACCACAAGGGATGGCAGTTAAAAAGAGATCACTGCAATAAGAACATGGAGATCTCAGTTATTATTCACTGGTCCATTTTAACACGATGCAAATATGTAAACTTATTACCCTTGAGAAAGGTTTTTTGCTTTGAGTAGCCTTACATTCCTTAACTTAGTCCTAGCAATCATCAAGCTATTGCATGCCCCATTCACGGAAGAAAAAGAAATGCTTTGTCAGAATGATGTAGCTTAATAGGTATTCTTCAAGCACATCTTTACCTAGAGCTTCCTTTAAATTATATTAATTTAAAATATCTATGGAATGACTTTTTTCCTTAAAAAATAACCAAAACAAATCAATGGGTTGGTTTTATGAAAATGACTCTTTACAGTAAGTAAAAAAGATTTATCACAGTTTTGGTAATTTGCATGAGTTCATACTGAAACAAAATCCTTCACATGTTCTTGATGAATTGGACATTATTGTGCTCTAGGTACATTCATTGGTATGACCTGTAGCAGTAGACACCATAGAGCTTGTGCTTTTTATCTGGAAAGCCCACAAAGCGGACCGCTGCTTCAGTAGGACTGCAGCGTTTTCTTGGCCTGGAGATCGGGTACCGGACACTGCCATCAGCCAGCCAGCCAGCATCACAGCGGTCATATCCTAGGAGTTTCCAGGCGGCAAACATTTGGCCTACTTTAGCAATCTGTGCACCGTCTTTGAGGCAAGCGTGCACTGCTTCATCATAGGTCAGTTTGGTCGGGTGAATTAGGTAGTAAAAACGGCCTAATAAACACAGAGAAAATAACATAAAGAGCATGAAAAGATAACCAAGGCAAAACTAAAATGATTGGTAAAGGAATCTTCAATGTATAATTCCTACTGTTTTCCTACTATTGCAAATCATATTGATCATTTAAATATATTGTCCTTTGATAAATTGTGAACTTGCACTAAAATATAAACCACACCCCTATTCATGTACAACAGTGGTTCTCAACCTGCGGTCCCCAGATGTTTTTGGCCTTCAACTCCCAGAAATCCTAACAGCTGGTAAACTGGCTGGGATTTCTGGGAGTTGTAGGCCAAAAACATCTGGGGACCCCAAGTTGAGAACCACTGATGTACAATGATGGGACTGAATGAAGAAATTCAGAACGATGCAAATATTAACTGCTGTTAATTAAATATCATGTTTCATCTGATTTGTTGTACTCCCCCTCGGTACCTTTGTTAAATGGTGGTTTAAAGTATCCCAAAGAAGAACAAGAAAAATAAGTATTTGTTATATACATACAGTTCCATAAATCAAGTTTTATTCCCATGTGCCACTACATGCTTTGTTTGCTCAATAACTTCATTCATCTTAATGTTACTATTCTATTTCAAACATTGTTGCACTTTTATTTGACCCTCAGTACTAAAACTCAAGAAAATTATCTCCTGGTATGATTTTTGCTATTTTTTAAGTCAGTAATTTGCTGTTTTGATTTGACATACATTCTGAGAAAACCTCTATTAACTATGATTGATTCATTGACTGAAATGTTTATGTTTTATTTTAGAATTGGTTTTATTGTTATATGTATGGTTGATTTGTATTGTTTTTAAAATGTTGTGAGACACATTGGGTCCTGTTTAGGGAGAAAAGTGGGAGATAAATAAAGAATTATTATTATTATTATTATTATTATTATTATTATTATTATTATTATTATTGACTATACATGTGGAGAAGGACAGTGGTGGTGATATGATGACTATTAACTCAAATTTCTCTTGTCAAGAAGCTGAAATTCATGATGGGATGGTGAGAGTGTGCACATAAATGCACATAATTAGAAATATCCAGTCAATGGGTAGTCAATGGGGGTTCCCAGCCAGGGGGGCAACAAATTTACTCCAGGCTTTTGTGTGTAGTTATGGGATGATCCAGAGTGCAGAACCAGTCCTGGAACGTGTGGTGCAGTCCTGGAACGTGTGGTGGCAGCACAACTCCAGGGATTTCTGGTAGACACTGATTATCTTGATCCGGCACAGTCTGGCTTTAGACCGGGACATGGGACAGAAACAGCCTTGGTCGCCTTGGTAGATGATCTTCGCAGGGAGCTAGACAGGGGGAGTGTGTCCCTGTTAGTTCTGCTGGACCTCTCAGCGGCCTTCGATACCGTCGATCACGGTATCCTTCTGGGACGCCTCATGGACATGGGTCTTGGGGGTACTGCGTTGCAGTGGCTCCGGTCATTTCTTGAGGGACGGTCCCAGAAGGTGTTACTGGGTGACACCTGTTCGGCCCCACAACCGTTGTCGTGTGGAGTCCCACAGGGTTCGATCTGTCCCCAATGTTGTTTAACATCTACATGAAGCCGCTGGGAGAGATCATTCGGAGTTTCGGACTGAGATGTTATCTCTACGCAGATGATGTCCAGATCTGTCACTCCTTTTCACCTGTCACCAAGGAGGCTGTCCAGACCTTGAATCGGTGTCTAGCTGCTGTGTCGGACTGGATGAGAGCTAACAAATTGAAATTGAATCCAGACAAGACAGAGGTCCTACTGGTCAGTCGTAAGGCCGAACAGGGTATAGGGTTACAGCCTGTGTTAGATGGGGTTACACTCCCCCTGAAGACGCAGGTTCGCAGCTTGGGAGTGATCTTGGACTCATCGCTGAGCCTGGAACCCCAGGTCTCGGCGGTGGCTGGGAGAGCTTTTGCGCAGTTAAAACTTGTGCACCAGTTGCGCCCGTACCTTGGGAAGTCTGATCTGGCCACGGTGGTCCACGCTCTTGTCACATCCAGAATAGACTACTGCAACGCGCTCTACGTGGGGTTGCCCTTGAAGACTGTTCGGAAACTTCAACTAGTCCAACGAGCAGCAGCCAGACTGCTCACCAGAGCGACATACAGGGAGCATACCACCCCCCTGTTATGCCAGCTCCACTGGCTGCCGGTTCAGTTCCGAGCACAATTCAAGGTGCTGGTTTTGACCTACAAAACCCTGTACGGTTCCGGTCCAGTGTATCTGTCCGAACGTATCTCCCTCTACGTCCCACCCCGAAGTCTGAGATCATCTGGGGAGGCCCTGCTCTCGACCCCATCACTGTCACAAGTGAGGCTGGTGGGGACGAGGAGCAGGGCTTTCTCAGTGGTAGCCCCCCACCTGTGGAACTCACTCCCGGGGGAAATCAGGACATCATCATCCCTCCTCTCTTTCAGGAGGAGGGTGAAGACATGGTTATGGGACCAGGCCTTTGGGCAGTCCGGCAATTAAATAAATAAGTCAACCAGGCGAGTAAGATCAATCAGGATTATTGAAATGGAACGGAAAACGGAAATTAGAACTATGAGTTAGCGATTGCTGACCATGTAAGAGGAGGAACTGGGTTTGTATTGTTTTATTGATTTTATTGATTTTATTGGTATAATGCTTGAACTAGTATGAATTGTGAATTGATGTAATTTTTGTGTCTTGATTGTTCTGTGCTGCAGGCATCAAATTGTGCCTTTGCTTCTGTAAGCCGCCCTAAGTCCCCTTCGGGGTGAGAAGGGTGGGGTAAAAGAACCCCAAATAAATAATAAATAATAACCAATATTTGGAATTCATTTCAGAATTTCAGATAGCTATTTTAAGTTTGGATAAAAACCGAACACATATTCAATATTCTGTCACATTTCACCATGTCCAATGATGTTTTCTTCTATTATATAATACTTATACAGCAACATAACATATATGCATGAGAATGAGGCATGAAAAACACAGCAGTTAATGAGATGAAAGCAAATTTCATCATAAGAAGTGAAAAGCCAATATTGGAGAAAAAAATTGCACCATACACCCCAGAACCTGCAACAATCATGGCTGGAGTAAATGCTGGATGGGGGCTTCTGAGAGCTGCAGCACAGCATGACAGTGTCTCCATGCTATGGCAATTGGCTAGCCCTTTTTGATCCCACTATATTTATTTATTTTCCACAAATTACACAAAACTGCTGAAATGGCATAGGATGTATATGCATCAGTTTAATCAGCCCCATTTGCAAGAATTTAGCTGGATCAGGATCTGAAAAACATTTGCTCAATGTTTTAAAGTCTGTTTGTTTTGGAAATGCAAACTCAGATTTGTCCAAAGCAAAAGAGATGTTTACTTTTTGCATGTTTTAAGGCAAATAAATTTTGTTGTGCATAATGCCTAGAGCATAAGCAGAGAATGGGAGTATCTCAGTCTGTGGGCTAGAGGCCAAACATCTGCTCTGTAAATGCATTCAACTTAAAACACATGCGAGAGACCCACATCTCAGTGAGTGATAAACCCAGTCTGTTGCTGAAAAGCAAAGTCTGCTGAACAATGGTCCTGATCTTTTCTTTTGTGTAGTTATTTCCAGGCATTAAAGCAGTTTAGTTTGCCAAATGACAACTTGGCTATTATTGCATTCTAACACCAGGAAAAAAAATGTAATTTCCCATCTCTTTATGCCCCACCTCTTCTCATTAAAGGCAAACCTTCTGTTCAACTTGTATGACATTTCCAATTTCAGTAAAAATATTTCAGAAGACACACAGTATTTTTATAGACACTACTTCTGCTTCTTGACCTGCTCTACCCATAAGTCTATAGAAACTTTTTTGGGGAAACTTTTAAAAAACTTTTTTTAAAAAATAAAATAAAATAGAAGCCCTGTTGATCTTTGATCTATTTTATACAACCTGGACAGAATCGGAAGAAGTTGTCTTTTTGACAACAATTCTTAAAATGCCCAAACTATCATGCAGGATTTGGAGAATTGCAGACCAAAAAGCATCTGTTCTCAGCTTTGGTTCTGGGAACATTACAAAATAGGTTATGTCTGCCAGACTGTTATTTTATTTCTAGAGAAAGATATTATGGAACACAAATCTTCTTGAGGATGCTCTGATCTGCTGTCACATCTCCATAATCCGCAAGGATATTCGCAACCACCCAAGAGAATGCTGGTTGCTTGTGTTAATTTAAAATGCTACAGATTGAATCTGAAGCCTTCTCCATACAAAGCACATACTTTACATTTACTTAAGACCAGATCTTGCAAAAGTTACTTTGCTGGATTACAACTGCTATGTTTTTGTAGTCCAATTCCCCCACCCCTCCACACATCGTTATGATTTTTCTTAAGTAAGTAAATAACACTGAATTCTGTTCTTCCTTCCCTAAAACATTTTCTTTAAAAAAACGGAGGGGGGGGGGGATCAGAATTCCTTACCATTAAACTTGGATGTAAAACAGAAAACATCATATCTGCTTAGGTCCTTATCTGAAAAGCCATAATTTCTGATTCCAGGCACTGTGTTCTTCCCACCACAAGGTTCCCTGGGATTTGTGATAGGATATTGCACTGATCCATCACTGAGCCAGCCTGCATTGCACCAGTCCAGACCTAATCGCCATGCTTCATATAACTGGTCGAAAGAAGCTATAACTGCATCTTGCTCCAGGCAGGCTTGTTGAGCTTCGTGGAAGTTAAAGTTGTAGCGACCCAGTCGTGGAAAGTAAGGAAATACAATGCCTAAAAGAGAAAACACATGGGTGAATGGGGTGCAAAAGGCTATTAATTACTTGGAAATACATTGAGTCTGTTTGCACAACTTATGTCAGAAAAGATGAAAATTACATTTATTATAAGCAGAAACAGAGTTTGAATTGTTACTCTCTACATCTCAATTGCCTACCTAGCAATAGAAATGTGATGCAGTCCAAAATGTATTTTTGTGCAGTCAGAAAGTAAACTTACTAACTCTGAGTGGAGCTGGGGAAAACATAGAGGTCATCTGCATGCAATGGCAAAAAATAGCCAATTAAAGTTTAATATCTGGGAATATAGGCTGTCAGTAAGCCAGCTGTTTAGTCTGAGAGTTTCGCCTGACTGTCTTCAGCAGCAGGCTTCTTTCCCAGATAGGATCACACCCTTTTCCTGTTGGAATGCCACCAGTTCTTCATGCTGTTCTCAAACGTGGCCTTATTGCCATTTTAAACATATTCTTATTCTTCAAGCCAACTGTTTTTTTAAAAAAAAAGATTGGAAAGTATTTATGGATTTTTGAGCAATAAGAAATCTAATGACACAATGATTTGTGGTTAGAGTTATTAGTAATTTTAGTAGGATTATTTTGCTGAATTTGTAATGGTAAAATAATATGTTTTCTTTTTTCCTTTTTATTACAGAGGGAGTGGGAGGTTAGAACTCTGCTTCATTTTAGTCACATGTCCTTTTTGCTTTGTTTCTCTCTCACTTTTTCTTTCTTATGTTTCCTTTCTTCAATGCATATAATGGTGAATGTATAGTATATTGTTAGTATCAGAAATCAATTAATCGGAAACATGTTCTTATTCTTTGGTTCTGTTGAATGTAAGATAAACACACCTATGCAGGACAAGAGAGCTGAGAAAAACCAGAATGATCAAATAGAGACCATCATCTTGATTGGTAAGAGTTTGAATCAATAGTAATTAAATGAAACATTATTTAAATTCAGTCACATCTTTTGAATCATCTTTACAACAGCAAATATATAATAGCAATTAATTCTAATAGTTACATGAAACCGACATAGTCCACTAGACACCAGGTGTTAGGGACAAGCAACATGGTTTTTTTGTATGTTTGTGATGTATTTTTGCTCTACTAATAAGTTTTCAGAATCCAAGCCTCACATTTTTGGTATCATTGGCATTATTATTATTTTCTTTTTTAGGACTCAAATACAGAGGTAAAATTGGAAACAAAATTCCTGAGGAGAGGTTTAACTTTCCCCCATCAGTGCATAGTGACTTTAATTCAAATCATGACCACGACACCGTTATCATGTGCCTCCATGTCAACTTGGATTTATTTATTTAAACTTTTATATCCCAATCTTCTCTACCTCCGCAGAGGGACTCAGTCTGGCTGTCACTGATTTTTATGATGGCTGTCACTGATTTTTCTGGCAGGATATCTGCTACTTTGGCATTGCTTTTCTGAAAAAGTATGAATTGTCCAATGGATTTCCATAGAGATTTGAACTCTTGTATCCAAAAGCCCTAGTCCAGCATTCAAATTATTACAACACACTGATTCTCTTACACATGTGGCAATGTAAGAAATCAAGGCTTACCAGCATGCTCTCTCTCTCTCTCTCTCTCTCTCTCTATATATATATATATATATATATATATATATATATAACGAGTACTGCTGCAAAATTTCTTTCATCACAACCTTTTCTTTCTAAGCAAGTACAGTCAGTCCCCAAGTTATGAACAAGATAGGTTCTGTAGGTTTGTCTTAAGTTGAATTTGTATGGAAATCAGAACAAGTACATTTTTAAGTGTAAGTCCAGCCAAGGATTGGTAATACAGCTTCAGTGAAGACACCTTTCCACCATGATAACTCTTCCTGGAGTGAATTTTCCCTATGAGGGGTAGATTTTTCTCACTTCCCATTCTTAACTATGAGTTGTTTGTAAGTCAGATGTTTGTAGCTTGAGGATTGCCTGTAGTTTAGTTTTTACAGGATCTATTCTTTCCATTTATTCAAAATGGCTTTTGAAAAACACACTACTTTAGGCATATAATTTTAGCAGTCACAGCTAATCACTCAAATTTCAAGAACTAAAAATTAAAAAATGCTTAATTCTTTCCAATTCCTGAAAAGTAATCCTGCAATCTTTCATGTTTGATCCTTTTTGCATGCAGAGCTTATGACAAAACATACTTCTGTGAACACAGGTTTTGTACAGTTCAGCTTCTGATACCTTACTGGAAGAAATTCTAGAAACAGAAAAACTCCTATTTAAAAGCTTTTCTATTTTTTTAAAAGAGAGGCACATATAAAATATTTTTTTGAGAAAATGTGTTCACAACTTAGTATCTGAACTGATTTGGTGCCTGTCACTTACAGATTAGAGAACAAAGGCGGCTTTGGTTTGTACAAGAAACAGCATTACACTGTTTTTGAAATAATGAATGCCCACTTTAAGATCTAATAAAAGTTGTTTCCTGTGCAGTGAGCATTCAAAATGTGGATGTTCAAATCTGAAATCCTACTCCTTCATGTTCCCATTTTGAACCAGGACTCTATGAGCAGGGCTGAATTTAAATAGAGATTCACATGGCGCCTTATTGACTTCCATAGACTCTCTACCTGCCTGAATTTTCCCATAAATTAAAATCTTACATTGGAGAAGAACATAACAAACTTTGAAGGGCAGAATAAGAACCATGTTTAACTACAGATGATATACACCATGCCACATTCTGTACCAGAGGATCATAACCCCCCCCCCCTCAAATGCAAATGAATCGAACTATCCCCCACTCCCTTGTGGACTTTAACGTTAGGGATAAACAAATTCCTTCTGGTGCAGACAACAAGCAATGTGATATGTGTATACCTCACTTTCAATTTTGAGGTGAAGAGATACCTCCACAAACACTTTGTCCATGAACCAGCACTGATCAATGTCCTGCCTCCCTAGCACTGTTGTCCCAATCTCAACTCCAATTACACTCAGTGAAGCTGCTAAAACAGATGAGGATTACTGTCATCTTGTTAAATTTGGTCTTAACTAACATTGCTGTTGATATATTTGAATTTCTGAAGTCTATTTTATTTATTTATTTCTGCAATCTGTTTTTTGGTTTTATGTTATTTAAAGCATGATGATTGTGACACTTGTCCCTTCATATCTGCAAGTTTAACTTTTACAAATTTGCAGATTTGATCATTTATTAACTGATTTGATTAATATGTTCTCCCTAGAAATTTAAATGTCTACCATGGTGAGTCTATGGGCAACTTCTACCAGAACCTAGAGATTCCTAAAGAAATATATTTTCAGATAAAGATGCATGACTGATTGCAGACATACCTGAATGAAATTGTTTACCTAGGGCCATTTCAGTTATATTCAATTGAGTCAACAATTAATACAATGGATCTACTGGAGATGAGGCTAGCAACATGATATAGGGAAATGCATTGAAGTAACATGCAGTATAGCTAGAGGGTAAAAAGGTATCAGATAGAATATGTAGTGCTTACAATTACTTGCAAAATGAAAACATTTTCTATCTTTGGGAAACTGATATGCCCCTAAGCCTTTTGTAAAAACTGTGTTGCCCTATAGCTTTTTTTTTTTTTTGAACAGGAATCACTTGATCAGGGGCCACTCTCCAACATTTGTACCAAAAGGGTTACGAATCAGTTTTTGGTCAACTTTAAATTTTGGTATTGCTATTTGGGGTGCTGATTCGGAAAACTGCATTAGATAGATCACATCAGCTCTAGTTTCTGTTACAGAACATATGCCATCCAGTAATCATCATCTGCTCACTCACATTTAATAAGCCTTGGCACTACAAGAGGGTTTCATGAGAACAATCACTCTTGTTGGAACGGTGTGGCCATGGACCATATTTTAGTTCTTGCAGACCACTGGTGATCCATGGACCATAGGTTGGGAACCACCACCCCAAAGAAACCTGCCTATAGTCTGTGAGGGAAGGCTATCTCTCAGTCCTACCACCATAACAGTCATGCTTAGAGAGGACATGAGATAGGGATAGATGGTAAATGAAGAAATATCTGGCCACTCAATGACTTATCCAAGGGAATTCCTAATTGCAGATGATCTGCTATTTTATATTGTTTTTACATGCAAATGATCGCTGACAGTTAAATAATGTTAAGTACAACTGGAAAGCAGCATCAAACATCTGTTTTGCAATATAGAATGAACACAGACTTATGCAGATAAAGACTTGGCTTATAAATATTAATGCGTCCTGTCCAAAGACATGCCAAGATTTGAACACTGAGAGACACTGATTTTCAATTTGGAAAATCCAGCAAACACAATGGGTTATTTTCCCCATAATCATGTAATTCTATCTTTATTCCTTTAGAGACTGCAGTTACCAGCTGCATGCCCTGACATCCATGTATGCTTTCCAGCATACTGGCAGAAAAGAGCTTAGAGACAAAAATTGTGTGTGTGTGTGTGTGTGTGGGGGGGGGTTTGGTTGAAGAATTGGATGAATTGCTCTCCTCAAACATTTTTGAAAACATTTTCCATATCAATTTCTGATGGGGAAAGGATTTGGTGAAATCCATATGGTTTGCCCAATAGTTTTCCAGCGACTAGTTTTGCTTTTATTGTAACCAAGATTCAAATAGTAACTGTAATTCTTGCAAAGTGTCCTTGAATTGTGACAGTAACACTGTAGTCAAGTATTACGTTTAAGAGTAACCACACTGTATTTACAGTGGGACTTAAATTTCCTGTACCCTAAGTCCAAGTGGAAAAAAGAAACTAACTTTAGCCAGAGTAAAGAAATTGGCTTCCTTAAGTACTAGTCTAAACAAAAAAGTCAGACTTCTTATAGCCAGAGTCAACAGTAGCACTTGCTATACACTCCACCATAGTGGAACCATCTTATGCTGGCACAGATATTTGCCTTGACAAGCATTTTTTCCAACTGATGTTTCTGTAATTCTGGCAAAGAAAATTATCTAACTTCTTCAGAATATATCACTGTTTCCTGTTATCCCCTACCTATATCCATAAATGATATTAGGGGCATAGGAAGCTGTTTTACATTAGGCCAGGCAATTGGATGGTTAGAAATGGAATGAAAATTGTAAATGTGTCATTCGTGATGTGAGAAGGCAATACATCCTGTAGGGAGAATGGTTAAATGCAGTGCAATTTTTGTCTTTTAGGAAAAGCAAAAAGAGCAGTCCTTTTCTTTGTTTTTCTGTGCAAAAGCATACTGTATTTTATGCAAACATACAAAAATATGTTCTGCTCAAACCATTGCATTTTGCACAAAATAAATTCCAGAAAAGAAAAATATCTTTGATATGTTTTTATAAAAAAGAATCCACTTACAAGCTCACAGAGGGGAGAGTACACTTTTGAACATTTTTATTTTAGAGAGATGGGCCAAAACTAACAAAATGAAGTTCAACAGTGACAAATGCAAGATACTCCACTTTGGCAGGAAAAACGAAATGCAAAAATACAGAATGGGGGATGCCTGGCTCGAGAGCAGTACGTATGAAAAAGAGTCCTCGTGGACAACAAGTTAAACATGAGCAAACAAAGCCAATGGGATTTTGGCCTGCATCAATAGGAGCATAGTGTCTAGATCTAGGGAAGTAATGCTACCCCTCTATTCTGTTTTGGTTAGACCACATCTGGAATATTGTGTCCAGTTCTGGGCACCACAATTCAAGAGAGATATTGACAAGCTGGAATGTGTCCAGAGGAGAGCGACTAAAATGATAAAAGGTCTGGAGAACAAGCCCTATGAGGAGTGGCTTAAGAGCTGGGCATGTTTAGCCTGAAGAAGAGAAGGCTGAGAGGGGATATGATAGCCATGTATAAATATGTGAGAGGAAGCCACAGGGAGGAGGGAGCAAGCTTGTTTTCTGCTTCCCTGGAGACTAGGACGCGGAACAATGGCTTCAAACTACAAGAGAGGAGATTCCATCTGAACATGAGGAAGAACTTCCTGACTGTGAGAGCCGTTCAGCAGTGGAACTCTCTGCCCCGGAGTGTGGTGGAGGCTCCTTCTTTGGAAGCTTTTAAACAGAGGCTGGATGGCCATCTGTCAGGGGTGATTTGAATGCAATATTCCTGCTTCTTGGCAGGGGGTTGGACTGGATGGCCCATGAGGTCTCTTCCAACTCTTTGATTCTATGATTCTATGATTCTATGAAACATGAGTCTGAAATAAGTGAATATTGGTATTTATATTCCGATGGGTGATCTCTCTCAGACACAAAATAAGCTATATACATCACTTGAAGCATAGTTTCTATAACAGGAAAACTTTGTTTAATAAAAGGGGCTTCCTTATTACACATGCTGTTCTTTTGTGACTTTGCTCATTATGACTTTGCTTGCAAGTCTAGTTCTTAAAAAACTGAAAACATCATGGCTGAAGGGAAAATGCTGTAACATGTGCTCTCCCACTATGTGCTCTCCCACTATGCTACAATCTGTCCTTCTTCTGGTGTTCTGGTTTTCAATACAACACAACTCTGAAAATTTTGGCAGTATGCATAAGATCTTTGATCAGTTTGCTCATAAAACACAGAACAACCTCTTCATATTATAATATATTGTATGTATATATAATAGCTTTATATATGCTGGGGAAAGTGGAAGGCAAAAGGAAGAGGGGCCGACCAAGGGCAAGATGGATGGATGGCATCCTTGAAGTGACTGGACTGACCTTGAGGGAGCTGGGGGTGGTAACGGCCGACAGGGAGCTCTGGCGTGGGCTGGTCCATGAGGTCACGAAGAGTCGGAGACGACTGAACGAATGAACAACAACAACATATATAATAGCTTAGAAAAAATGTATATTGTTCTGTTAAGTGAACTCAGGAATGATTAGCTATTGTGTCCAACTGAGAACTGTTTCTAAAAATAAATGGTTTTGTCAATCTGCCAAGAACTATTTTTGTCAGTCATGTAACTAGGGAAAACTGGGTATTGATTCAAACATTTGTCACTGGTTGTATTTGCTCCATCCAGCAAATGAAAGTCTATGTAACATAGATTTTAGTGTCCTCAAAGAAATGGGATAATGTTTTATGAAAGAAAGGTTATGCATTTTAATATAAAACTTTTCATTTAAAATATATTTCAAAAATTGAGTTTACAGTACAGCGCAAAAATGATTAAGCATAGGAGCATAAACCTTATAAGGAATAAGAAAACAATTAGTCAAATGTGTCTTACTAATAAAAACTAAAATGTTTAATTCTTAGCATTGCAACGGTTACCACATAGATGATCTAATGGGAACTCATCCTTTATGTACTAAATTAAAAATTGCAAAAACAAAACAAAACCCTAATAATCACGAGTTCCCATAAAACATATAGTAATGCAATTCACTGCAGGTTGAGTATCCATTATTTGTAATTCCAAAATCCAAAACACTCTAAAATCCAAAATTGTGGCTGAGATATTGAATCCTCCCCCCCCCACCGATATCTGATATTGAGTTCTAGTAGTGAAGGCCAAATGGTCTGTTTATATTTCCATAAAACACACATTGTTTCATGTATAATTCCATGTTTTCCTCTTTTTGTAGTAATTTTGCATTTTCTTTTTAAAAAATCATCATGTCTGTAGGCTATTTCCACAATCAGAGATGGCAAGCCTTGAATACCAGTTACCCGATAACAGCAGAAGAAAAAAAAACTATTCTGTTCTCTAAGCTTCCCATATATTTTTGGCTCAACATTGTGGGAAATAGAATACTGAGCCAGATAGGGCTTTAGAGTGATCCAGCAGGGCTCTTCTTACTGAGTTCTTTTTCTAATTATTTTAATAATTAATAGCATGTCTGAAGCAACCAATCCTAGGGAACAATTTATAGAATCAAGAAACAGTGTTCCAGTGCCAGCATAAAGAAATTACTCTTCTTCTACTTTGAAGGCATAGTCTTTTAATCTCAGCCTTTTTTTTTTCAACCCTTGCCCAATAGCTGGGTTAGGAGCCTCCACAGCAGTATTGCTGCTTCTCTGGCAATCTATTCAAAAACAGCCACTCTAGTCCTTTTTCCCCATTATTCTATATCCTATCAGTATTTGTCCCCCCCTTTCCCCAAAAAACAATCTGAGAATTAAGAATGATGACACAAATTACATTTTTTCCTTATAGACTAGTGGGTTTTATTTTTGATATCAATTGTCATAGATCCTCCTGCCCAACTGAAAATAGCCATATGATAAATGTGTTAAATAAACTTAAGATTGAAGAAAAATCCTGAAAACATCAGAAATAGACACTGGTGTTAGGAAATGGGAACAATATTCTATCAAAATGGGTTCCCCAAATGTAGTACAGTATTACCCTAGACCTTGGACCTCTTCACATGGCCCATGGGGATCGTGTCAGTGAAAGTGAAGGCACGTGGGAGGTCTTGTGGCACCCTTTGCACCCTCCCTCCTTCCCCCATCACACGGTTGGGACAGGACAGAGCATGTTGGCACCCTATCCCTGTCTCTATCATATGGGAGAAAGGGCAGAAATGTGCAGCAACACGCTGGGTAGAATTAGAATTGAATAAATATAATTTCAATACAGACTGGCTTATGTTGATAGGAGTAAATTATAAGTGTAACAGATAAATATGATCATATCCATCACCTCTCTTTCTCATCAGTGAAGCTATATGAAGCATGTCAATGTTAGAATAAAATAAAACAGTATCAGGTTATATGAAACTCCATGAAACTCAAAGAGCTGCATACGTCCAATGATTTGAACTAAATTACATACCACATATTCTTTAATGTTCAGTATGTTGTAAATGTGCTTAAACTAGTACATACTTATTTGCAAAGGAACATTATAGCATCTTTGAGCCTAATTGAAAGAGGTTTGTAGCATAAACTTTCAGTGATTGAGTCAGTTTATGTTACAAACTTATTTTGGTTAGTCTCAAAGGTGGTACAATATTCCTATATATACCAATCCAGATTGATATTGCATTATAATAGTACGTACCTGGTTGGAGTTCAAGGACCTGGCTGAAAATGGTATAAACATGGTTAAGTTCACACACAGATGAACTTCCTTGAAATTGTAAAACCAAATCTTCATCTCATTCACAATCAAACAGAATACTTCTGCACTATTAATTTACAGTTAGCCTATATTGACACAAATTGTGCTATACATATGCATTTACAAATAATTTCCCCCTCAATTTGAATTTTTGTTCCTTTAAAGACATTAGATTGTGATAAGATGGTTAAATAAAACAAGTCACTTCAAGTTCACTTCAGTTTTAGTGAAATAGTATGACTTAGGCAGCTAACTCAGAAAGTGCAATTTGATACTCACTTACCAAGGAATAAACCTTTTTAAACCCAATGGAGCTTGCATGTCAAGTATATCGAGGATTTCACTCTTAGAGTGGTAAATATGTTAATCTTTAAACAGCAAGGATGAGAATACTACAGCACAACTGAAATTGCCTAAATTCCTCTGACTTATGTAAGCAATGGCCTACTTCAGATGCACCTTATTGACTAGTCAAATTCCTACAAAAGATCTTGCAATAATGAATGCAAATCTGTTAATGATGGTGGCATCACATCTTTTGACTGATTCAGGAGAGGAGTCAGATCTTGGCAGACTTTGATAAACTAAGAAGAAAAGAATCTCATGACAGTTTAACAGTCTCAAAGGCAGTATGCCGTAATAAAACCGTTCTTCCATTGCTCATTTTATTAAGTATTTTCCTTTATGACAGGATTGCTTACCTTCTAAATTTAGGGATACAATGGCTGTGTCATCTTCTAAGCCTTCAATAACTTCACATTTATATTTCCCATAATCTTCCAGCATTATATTTGTGATTACAAGAGAGACATCATTTTCAGTGCTTTTCTTTAAGGAGACCCTTCCTTGGTAATTTCCGTAGCTCTTTTTGTGGTATCCCATTTCAACATAGACATCCATTTCTTTGAGGTAATTTGAGGTGAGTTTGGTCCACTTGATCCGAATTTTATGAAGGCCAAAGTCAGATGGTGCATGTGGACGGTAAAATTTACATGGCAGTGTAATATTACCACCTCGCTGTGAAAAGACTTTACTTTCTTCTGCTTTCACAAGAAGGCGAGGTCCATTTTCTGATTGCAGATTGAAAAGAAAATACACATGAATTAGTATGAAGCACTGCATTCAACATGTGAAAACAGGAACATTCTTGTGTAACCATAAGTGAATGGCTATAGGCAAAAAACAATAAAAACAATGAAGCAGCAAAGTGATTTTTATTATTTGCCAACTACTTTAGAGCTTTGTAAGTTTTATGTTTGTATTCACATGCATTATTTGCAAAGGCATTTGGTTCTATGAGATAGCAATATATGTGAGTCATACCCTAATATTTAAAGTTTAATGAAAAATATATAATAGTTTTGTGACCTCAATGGAATAACAAAATATCTCAACTCTCTGAAGTCAAAGTACATATTATGCTGAGGAAGAAAAGTCCTATAACAACAATGGTTGGATCCAGACAGGCTTTTATCCCAGGAGAATCCACACCCACCTAAAAAAGCATGAGCTTTCTGGGGTGGGTATCCGGACATTCTTGCGGGACTAGAGAATGTCTGGAGGCCCTTCCCCATCTCCCCAAGCCCCCAGACCCATTAGAAAAGTAATAAAAACTTACCTGGCCTCCATTACAAGCCTCGTCCAGCTCTCCCGGTGCATAGAAATGACATGCCAGGAGAATGGGGGGGGGGCAATTTTCCTCCGTTCTCCCCTCCCCTCCCCTCGCTCTCCAGCGAGGCTTGTAATGGAGGCCGGGTAAGTCTTTATTACTTTTCTAAGGGGTTTGGGGGCTTGGAGGGAGGTGGTACTACTCCCACAGTTTACTGGGCTTATTTAGCCCAGTAAACTGTGGGAATACTGTATGGACTGCAGTATTCTGCAGTCCAGAACCGGAAATAGTGGGTTTATCCCTGCGGAATAAACCCACTATCTAATTAATTTGCTACAAACCAGAGTATTCCTTGTTTGTAGCAAATTAATTCAGGACTGTCCAGAACGTTGTCTGGACAGCCCCTCCTTTATTGCAGCCCTTTGTTTTTCCTGAAAGTACAAATACAGGGTGAGGCAGCATAACTTCCTTTTTTAAAATGCACACCATTCAGTCGGTTGAAGACGTAGTGGAGTTATGTGGTTTCATTCGAGAGGCGGGAGTATAAAGTTTTGTCCTGACACAGTTCAGTTGTCATCATGCGTTGGAACAGTGAGGAGCGTGCTTTTTCCGTTGAGGCCTACTTTTCGAGCGGATTTGGAGTGGCCAGCCTGTTCTCCAGATTTGGCCCCTTGTGATTTTTTTCTATGGGTTTTTTTTTGAAATCCCATGTTTATGTGAACTGTCCAAGGACCCTACAATATTTGAAGACCAACATCCAGAAAGAAATTGCCAACATAATGCCTGCTATGCTGGCAAGAGTCATGACAAACGCCAGAAATCGGTTTACTCAGTGTATGGAGAAAGGGGGACGTCACCTACCTAATTTGATGTTCAAAACTACGTAAAACAAAACTTTAGGTATGTGCCTACATTATAAAATAAAAAATAAAAAATTCTGATTCATACAAGGGGTTTTATTAAGTTTTGAATAAAAGAAGTTATGCTGCCTCACCCTATACAATAACTAGGAGCATGGCAATGCCACAGATCTTAGGCTGAAATGGGATATGGCAAGGTGCAAGTACTCTTCTTATGTCTGGAAGGAGCTGTGATTTGAGGAACATCCCCAGCAGTAATCTTAGTTATGGTCGCTGAAAACTTCTTGGACATATCACTGGCAGCAGGCCTCGAATCACAATACACTAAGACCATTCTGGGTCCAAGGAAAATATTCTAATGCCAAGGTAAAATCAGAAGTTATTAATAGAAGTGTCTTTCTCATGTCACACAAGAACAATTTGATTTGCAGTTTCAACACTGACTGCTGCAACTCTCATGAAAGTGAGTCATGTTTAATTAGGATAGAGTCATAGATTGATATGAGGCACAACTTATGGCTCAAGGCTCAATCATTGGCATTTCAGTTGAGTTGTGTCTAGTCTCCACTATACCACCCTTATATTGTCAGTAGATTAATCATATGTATATGAAGGTCTCCTATGTTTCTGAGAGCTGTTTGCCCAAATGAATGGGCAAATAGCAATACAGGCTTAATATTTCAGACAAACATATAGACAGAACAAACACTCTAGTCTTCACACATCCTAGAAATTAGTCTCATATCTATCCACTATCCCATTTTGTAAATTGACTCAAGCTATGGTTGGGCAGCAAAACATATCGAATGCATTTTTTTAAAAAAATGAATGTTTAAAAGAAGAAATCCACCTAAAAGCTTTTTCTTTCATTTCAAATGCCTCTTACCTATAGAAGCATGATATCCATAAGAGATTTCAAAAGCCAAAGTGAGATAATAGTTTGAGTATTTAACCAGGGTTCTAATGGTTCAAATACCTGCTTAGCCCTGGACGCTCACTGAGCATTCTTGGACAAGCCACACTCTCTGAAAAAAATAGCATCCTCTTTAAACACACTGTGTCAAGAAAACCCTATGATAGATTCACTTTGGGGTTGTCATAAATCAGAAATGACTTGAAGTCAAACAACAACAACAAGAGATTTAAAAAGCTCAGTGATAGCCATTTTGACATGTTCAGAAGGGTTAGCTTGGCCAATTGCTTTTATCAAAAGCCTTGAAGTCTGAAAGGCCTTTCTGAGCCATAAGTATTTTATCATAAATTTCTGCCTGGAGACAAACGTAGAATGCCCAGAGCTGGCGGGACATGGCAGGCAGCCCAGTTGATAGAGTATCTCTCTTCTCTGGAAGCCTTTTGGTCCCTATATTTTTCAAGTATCTCAGATACAGATATAACTGTTTCTTGGAGATACTGAGGAAGTGCATTTCCCAACATTCACAAGCAAGAAAATCAATGACTTACTGAAGCTGAAATACAACTGAAAAACTGTGGGGGGTTTTGTCATTGTTGTTTCTTCATTTAAGAAAAAACATACATGTGGTTCACACATGTTATACCTAGAAGCTGAGTCAAACTGAAGAATTGGAACAGGAATCTAAAGAGGAGACACACTGAAAGGGTGTTCTGTATTCTGTTACAGAGACACAGTGATTGGAGTTAGGCAGCCAGATTAGCAAGGAAGCAATAAAACAGAGCAGGAAAAGGAGTCTTGATGGGAAGGAGTGATGAAAGTAGCTTGATTTGTTTGAGGCTCAAACTACAAAGAGTTCAGAGCAGTTTATAAAAGATAAGAACATTCCACAGTGCTCAATTCATGTACCAACACATAGACATTGAAACCTAACATTTCTGGCCATGATGAAAACATTTTTGTTGAGAAGTAGTAAAGTTGGACATATTTATATAGAAGACTTCTTGTAATGACAGAAGTTGGACCACTGAAACTTTAAAAATTAAGAAATGTCCAGTTTAAGCATGATTGCCATTCTGAAGCAATTATTGCTTGAGGTGTATTATGCTCTCTCAGTGGGTCCAAAATTATATGATGTCTGATGAGGAAATATAGCATGGAATAAATGTATGGAACTTTAAAATTTATTGTGTCGATATTACAGATAAGTGGTTTTTTGCAAGTTGCTAATATAATATTTAGTTTGTATGAATATTTAAGTCTGTTAGTCTGACAAAAACAAAGTGGCAACATTCACCTTGCAACATAAACTCTTTTCTTCTGCTTGGCAGTGAACAAACCAAAGGAAGCATTGATATATTGCATGTGGGACCACAAAAGAATCATAAAATGAAACAGAATAAAAAGCTAATATATGAAATACTCACTGATACCAGCTGTTCTGGCAAGTAACCAATATAGCACCTAAGGAACATATAGTTTCTATTTTTCACTGCTTTGAAAATTAATGTTCAGCCTTTGGGAGAAGTTGAAACTGCATTATATCGCAGTGAAGATGCCCCCTCCCAGTTACTCTCTGTTGTGTTTCTTCATTCTAAAATATATAAATTCCTTTTCTAATGCTATGTTACTTGCAATGAGAGCCATGGTTTGTTTGGCCTCAGTTGTTAACTTCACTCACCAGTGCTATGGAGCCTGTTCCCATGACTTTCAATCTGAATTCAACTCCTAAGTGCAAAGCAGTTGCTATATCTTGAAAATATTATAGTGATCAGAAGAGTGCTGCAAGATATCACTAGCTATTAGGATTGTCAGGGCTCAAGGCACTCACAAACTATGGTTAAATTAGATGAATCACTTAATTTGTTCATGATTTTTCTGGAGCTCTTGAGTATATGGCACCCAGTCACCTGCCTCAGCCATGGAACACATGTAGAGGCTACAAGAAGTTAGTTAATTCTTGTACATCTCTTGCCATTGGCAGTCCCTCTCTGAGGTGGAGCCTCTCTCCCATTTGCACTTTTTGGCATTTTTTTGTTCTGCAACTGAGAATATTTTGGCATTAGTTGTAAGCTCAGTGAAAGCATTTTGTTTTCATTTGGGTCATACATTAGGCTCAATTCAATTTTTTCATATAAAAGAGAGAAATAAAATATGTTCCCAAATTCTATTCCTTACTCGCTAATCATGTCACATACAAAATTAACTTTCTTTACATTATTATCATAGATTATTGCCAGATGTGGCCTCTGCTAAACGGTGTGTTAGCTGGAGATAAAGGTCATATGGAACAGAGCTGAGTCTAAATTAAATAGATGCTATTTGTAAGGACAACAATGGGTGGAATATGACAGAAAGAATTTTTTTCATAGGAGGCAAACTGTTAAATTTTGTTAGGCTCCAGGCTATGCTTACAACATATGTTTAAACACCCTGGTTTAAAGAAGTGTTCCCCTAATGTTTAACTTAAATTTGTACTCCTGCAAAGCCAACAGATCAAGTTTGGATCTTGAAAAAAGCTTCATATTAATAATAATAAACTTTATTTATACCCCGCCACCATCTCCCCAAAGGGGACTCGGAGCTGCTTACATGGGGCCATGCCTGAACAAGAATTACAATATAACAATACAAATTGCAATAAAATAAGCAACATAACATTAAGATATAAAACATCAAAGCATATAAAACAATATACACAGAACATAGGAACAAAGCATACTGACAAAAAGACAAAAGGCGGGCCGCATGTACATAAAATGATTTAAAAACTCCGGGTGAGATAAGGGGGCAGAACTAATTGTAAGGGAGAACTCATAGAGAGATAGGAAAATAAGCAAACCTAGGACAAAACATTGGAGGAGTACTAGCATAAAATTTATGTGGCTACTCTTCGAAAGCGCAACGGCAGAGCCAGGTCTTAAGACTCTTTTTAAAGGTTTCCAAGATAGGGGCTTTCCTAATCTCTCCGGGCAGTGAATTCCAGAGTCGGGGGGGGCACAGAGGAGAAGGCTCTCTCCCTTGTACCCACAAGGTGAGTCTGAGAGACTAGCAAGGGCGAAAGGAGGTTCTCGCCCGAAGATCAAAGAGTATGGGCTGGTTCATGGAGAGAGATGTGGTCACGAAGGTAGGCGGGTCCCAAACCATTTAGGGCTTTATAGGTAAGAACCTGTATGTTGAATTGGGATCGGAAGATGAACGGCAGCCAATGGAGCTCCTTAAACAGGGGGGTTGGCAGCGCCCTGTAAGTTGCCCCAGTTATTAATCTGGCTGCCGCCCCAAGAATCCCCTCCACGTTATCAGGATGAACAAGGTGGAAAGAATCCCATAAGGTCGAACAGACAGGTTTCTCGGTTACCTCATCTGGCATTGCATTTAAACCGGAGTCCAGCTCTAGGCGTAACTGAGCAACTTTGCCTGCAAAATGGCACATGAAATCGCTGCACCGAGTTGCCAAGTCATCAGGAAGCTCCTCAACCTCAGGAGGTCGAAGGAGCTCCCCAACAACCCGGAACAACTCTGACGGTCTATTTGCTGCAGACGCTATGCGAGCAGTTGAGAATGTTTTCCTGGCTGCTTGCAAACCCATGGAATAAGCCCTAATAGCAGCTTTAGCCCATGCTTGGTCAGACACACCCTGATATTTACTCCAGATGTCCTCCAGACCCCTCCTCCAGTGCTTCATCACAGCCAGCTCCTCAGTGAACCAAGGAGTCGGTGTGGTTCTGTTCAATGAGAGGGGATGTTCGGGAGCAATCATGTCAATCGCCCTAGACATCTCGCTATTATAGAGATCAACAAGGGCGTCAAAAGGATCACCAGTCTCCAGGACAGGAAGATCCCCAAGAGACCTCAGGAATCCCTCTGGATCCATCAGCCTCCTGAGGCAGACCATCTTAATGGGCCCACCACCCCTGAGGAGGTTAGCGGGTACAGTTAGTCTTAAGCTGATCAGATGATGGTCAGACTATGACAATGGAAGAATGTTTTGCTCTTCCACTTGACTGTCCCACCATCCACAAGAAAAACAAGGTCCAACATGTGTCCCGCTTGATGCATGGGACCAGATATTACTTGAGTCAGCCCCATGGTCATCCTGGCAACCATGAAATCCTGAGCTGCTCCTGACAATGTGGTCTCGGCATGAATGTTAAAGTCTCCCAAAACTGAGACCACATCTGCTAGCTCAGACAGGGAAACTGCCAGGTCGCAGGGTGGGCAGTACACCAGCAGGATCCCCAGGCTGTCTCGGGTTCCCACTTTCAAGTAGACACACTCGAACCTTTAAGATTGCGGAACGGTGCATCTGATCAGAGCGATGGACTGCCGAAAGATTACCGCAACCCCATCTCCCCGCCCCCTGGACCTAGCCTGCTGATGCACACCGAAACTTGGGCACAGCTGGGTAAGGTTACCCCCCCCCCCAACAACTCATCCAGCCATGTCTTAGTGATGCATGCCAGATCTGCAGCCTCATCCAGGATCAAGTCCTGAATGACAGATGTCTTACCATTGATGGATCTGGCATTCAGAAGCAGAATTTTGAGTCCAGGGGGTATGCCAAGGAGACTACCGCACCTAACCTTCTCCAGGGTCACAAGTACTCTGCTGCGCTTCTCCCTGGGTAGAAAGTGACCACACTTCCTCCTTCCCCACACCACCTCAATGGCCCCCGACCTATTTGGAACCCCACCCCCCTGATGGGCAGACTGAATGGAATTATGTTATCTTCTATGGAATGGAACTATATATCTTCTGCTAAAATGTGCAAGATGTGCAAAAAAAAGTGGTAGAAACTGAAGAACACAGGTCAAATACAGAGGAGGAACAATCTGATTAGAGGTAATGGAAATTATGTAAAACACTTCAGTGGCCTAGCTATTTTTAATTATAGTTCCACCTTTTCAGTCACCTAAACTTGCTGTAGAATCTTTCAAGTCTTTCCCTATAATATGATGGAATAATATTCCTTTCTCTCCTGAGCTTCTATGGCAGTCATATCTAATTTAAGATTTGCTTCCTTTGGGTATACAGTGATTTTTTTATTAGTGTTCTAAATAAGGTGACTTTTTCCCCTGAGAAACACATGCCTCCCTTTCTTTTTCAGAAGCCCTCTGCAATGAGGACTTCTGAAAAATGAGACACAGAGCTACAGCTACAACAACCTTGTTGTTTGCACTGAATAATTACACAGGTATTGGGAAATTACTATTTTGCACAACAGCTCCAGCACCATCCTTACAGAATTCATGCTGACTGGAGAATTTGGGGAGTTAAACTCCAAGAAACTAATTCCTCAAAGCTTTAGTTTTAAACGTTAATTTTTATATTTGAACTGTAAATTCATCATTGCTTTATTGCTGGAGATGCTGCCAAAATGAATTTCAGCTGCTGTAGGTTTGTTAGCAGCTCTTGGTTACTTAATTACTTGAAGCTTTAGTCCTTCTTTACTTCATTCTTTTTTGGGTTGCTTGAAAAGGATAATTCATGTTAAAGAACAACCATTAGTTTTCACAAAAAGTGAGACAGTAGTTTACTTTCCACTGAAGTGTCAGTGTCATACAGACAGGTCAAAGTAGTTTACTGTTACAACTGACATTCAATAAAAGTGCTGCTACCTGAAAATATGCTCTTTTCAGTTAAATCTGTCTCTCCTGGATTTTCAAGGTAAGATCATGTTATAAGTGTATGATGAAACATTTTCTGGGCCAAAACATAAGTTACAGGCATTTATATATTTTTAAAATATCCTGTTTTTTTTAAAGGTTTATCAAGCAATCTATGATCTTTTGCAGGCATGAAGTGGTAAAGTAATGGTCCAAAGGGAGTGTTATCATCAATACAAGACCAATCAAAGAAAGAGCATAAATGCCGTTACAAAGTCTACCTGTCTTTAGTGTGATAGTTAACATCTTTCCTCAAATAAACAGCATGAATTTATTTCTTGTGTCTACCTCTGCTACATTGTCCAATTTTATTTTTGACCTTGAAGACATAGTCAAGCATGTGAAAATGTGGGGCTCTTGAGGTCCCTGCTGAGAGGACTGGAAATGCTAAACCCTTCCTCTTGTATCAAAGTGTAGAAAAGCGCACGTTCGTGGACAGTGAGAACACCGGTAAAGTGGGATTGAACCTCCAAACTTTATATGGCACCTATTGGCTGCATAATTTAAGTTGTTAAAATTTAATACATACAAATGAGAGAAAATATTGTTTTTCATTCTTCCTGTCACTTTTGCATTAATAAATGCTTTGGCTTGCTTCATACAGAATGACCCTCAGCTGCTGAAGCTGGAACTGAAAAAGAGCTGCATTATACTGCAGCCTCAGAGCTTCATACAGCCAACCATAACCTAGGATTGAAATGGATATACACGATTATGCAGAGGCTTCATACTCTTTTATATATGTGGAAATGCAACTCCATAGTGAGGTAAGCTACTTTTTATATTGCTTGAGTTGTTCATTTTTAAATACTATGTCTAATTAATTGGTTATCAGTATGTGATATGAAAGGTTTCTATTTGATATGCTGTAGATAATATTTATTCTGCAGTAAGGCAAGTGCATTTCATAAACCAATTGCTTATCTACTGCATGCACTTCAATTTTAAGCAGATAATGTTTCTGACTGAAAAATCAGTGCAGGATTGCATACTGAAGAACTGCAGTTAAAATATTGAAGCAGAATTGCGAGTTTCAGTGCTCAGAGTATATTAATGCAACATAACAGCAAAGGCAGCCAATCTTTAAAGAAAAAGTAGCAAAACTACAGCATCACATTTGCTATTTAATTCATTTTACTTACCATGGATGTGAAAAATTCTGTCACGCTCCAGTGTGAAGTTAGCAACATAAGAGTCAGCCCAGCAGAAAGAAATCAGCACCAGAAAAAGTAGACTCCTCATCTTTTGTAGCCCAAGAATCTTCTTCACTGTGAGAGTACCACATACAAAGAAGCTGGTGAAATGTGCAAATCTTAACAGTGATGCAGTGCACAACTTGTTACAGCCCCATCATTCTCTCATTGCTCTATGAAGATTTAACCCACTCTGCTAGATAGAAAACTTATAGCAATGGGTGACTTTTAAAAATAAATAAATAAATAAATAAAATAACTTCTTTATTGGGGTGCAGAAGACAAGAGTCTACCTGTCACTGACACTTTACCAGTTCGGACATGAAACTAGTAATTACCCTGTCCAGAAAAAGTGCACAAGTAGATGTTCATTTTTTTCTCTTTAAATCATAAAACAGAAATTTGCAGTCCCTTGGGTTCTTAAGTGTTAAATGGATTTTGGTCTGGGTTTTTTTTTTTTGGTTAAGTGTTCTGAATTTATTCTAAGTATTTATACCCAAGTGATGATCATGAACAATAACTCAGATGCAGTATATAATAATATGGTTTTTCTTAAAAAACAAAAAAAACAAAAAACACCCATGTTTACTTTGTAAAGAACTATGATGTCTTCATCAATCAAGGCAGCATAGAGGCTGACCTGCAAAGGAATGCAGTACTTTTGGGGGGATTACACTTACCATTTTAAAGTCTAGTCTACAGTGCAATGTTGAAAACCATGCACAAAGTAGGTTAGAATTGCATGTGCTGCCACTGCAGTTGCCCTGATTGATTTTTCATTCATTTCTATCTAGAATGCTGACACTCTAAATAGTGTGCCAGGTAGGGTCTCTGCAGTCAGCAAAGCTGCTGAGCGCTGCAGGGGGAAATCTCTGCCAGCCCTCAGACTAATAATTAAGCAAATGAAGACCGAAAGATAAGCAGGCAACACAAAATGCAAGAATCGTGATGCAGAAGGTACAGAATATCAGGCTCTTTGGAAGCATCATTTCCAAGTCACCCCCCCCCTCTCTTGACCTCTTTTTTCTTTCAAAATGTGCATGAAATAATATCTTGTGACCAGAAGAGACACTGCAGACTAAAAAGAATAGGGGTGATGCAGAAAATGCACTGTATCTTGCCCACCACTGTGGTTCATGTTGAAATTAGGGGAGATACAACACAAACACAGAGAGCAAAGTCATTCCTAATTTTGATTTTATAGGCTGTGTTGTTTTAAATTTCATCTGTTTAATAGTTTAATGCATGAGCTACTATTTTCACAAGGAATTACTTGTTTTGCAGTAGCTGAAAAGGCTGTTGCAGCTATAGCCTCTGGCAATGCAACACTATCCTGAGACAATCTATGATGTTGCCCTGCAGCAGGAGCATGTCAGCAGCATTGCTGTCCAGGTAAGAATCACTACAGTTCACACCAAAAGGAAATGATGAAGGTAGGACCTCAGACAGTTTAGCATGCATTTTCAGCAATGTGGAACAAATATCAGCATAACTGGTGATGATACTTAATATTTGGAAAGGTACTTAATATTTATGGAAAATTTACTGCAGAGCCCAGTATGTTTCCCACAACTGAGTTCTGGGAAACCACAGATAAGGGTTCTGCAGTTATGGGAACCCATATCTGTGGCTTCACAAACTTACGCCTGCAGAAAAGTAGTCTTTCTAGGAATTTTCTAGGTTCATCTAGCTAATTCTATGGTATACTTCCCCTCAAAGTCACCACTGGCTTGCAATAGAAGATCTCACAAATTCGTAGAGAGGGCATCTCTCTAAGAATCTCTAGGTCCTTCAGTGCAACTGTATGGTATGCAGTGACTGGAAGTGAGGTGACTCATTGGTATTTGGTCATATTTGCAGTTTCACATAACTGTGGTCCAGCTTGGAATATACCTCATGTGGATATGGGGGTTGTACTGCACAAAATGTAATTGACAGACAATGTAATGATCTAGACCAGCAGTTCTCAAACTGTGCTCCATGAAGCCTTTAGGGCTCTGTGAAGCCACAGTCAGGGGTTTCGCAGGGAACCTGCAGGCTACTCCCATTCCCCCCCCCCCCCCCCCCCCGCATATGAAGTCCTTAGTCCTGGGAGTCCCACTGCCACTGTGCGGCCTTCAGGCCTCCCCAAAGTATGCTGCGTGGGGAGCCTTGCTGCTGCCACTGCCATGGCCTGCAAGGCCTCCCTTGCATGGCAGAATGGAGGAGGACTGGATGGCCCCTGGGGTTGCTCTTGTTGTTATTGTTGTTGTTGTTGTTGTTGTTGTTGTTGTTGTTACAAAGGCTGGGTAGCCATCTGTTGTGGGTGCCTTGACTGTGCTTTTCCTGCATGGCAGAAAGGGGTGGAACTGGATGGCCTCTAGGTTGCTCTTGTTGTTGTTGCTGTTGTTGTTGTTGTTGTTGTTGTTGTTGTTGTTGTTTTTGTTACTACAAAGACTGGGTGGCCATCATTTTGGGGTGCTTTACTGTGCTTTTTCTGCATGGCAGAAGGGGGTTAGACTTCCACCGTAATATTGTTAAGTTTATGTTGGTTAAAATTGTACTTCATTTTAAATGCTGTATTGTTCTTTTTTTCTTTTGCACTACAAACAAGGTATGTGTAGTGTGCATAGGAATTTGTTCATGTTCTTTTTAATTAGTTCACACAAACATTCTCCACCCATCTGCTACAGGCCTGCCCATCTGTCAAATTTTAAAATGCAATGCAACCCCTGTGTTCAAAAGTTTTTTGGGGCTTCATGAGAAACTTTTCCTTCAAAAAGGACTCCATGGCTTTAATAGTTTGAGAACTGATCAAGACACACAACCAACTAGCACCATCATTATCATTCTGCCTTTTTGCCAATTTAGGTCTCACAATGCTTTATAAAAGTTTAAAACAGAATCAGAGCTGACCAGCCTAAAAATATCTCTTGAAACAAAAAGGTCTTCACTTGCTTACAAAAGGGGAGCAAGAAGTGTACCAAGGGGATCCCAGAATCTAGGAGCAGCCACCAAGAAGACCCTCCCCTGTGTTCCCACTATGAAAACAGAAATTACCTGATCATGGGACCTTTATGGCAGCAAGGATAAATCACAGGGGCTATTTTGAGGGATTTACCTGTTTTGAGGCAGGAAATGTTTGAAATACAGAGAACTGGGAGCCTGGGGAAGAAGTGGAGCCACTAGGGCAGTGGTTCTCAACCTGTGGGTCCCTAGGTGTTTTGGCCTACAACAACTCCCAGAAATCCCAGCCAGTTTACCAGCTCTTAGGATTTCTGGGAGTTGGACGCCAAAACATCTGGGGACCCACAGGTTGAGAACCACTGCAGTAGGAGATTTCTTATTGTCTTTGGGCTGTGTTTTACAAAACCCTGCTTTGCCCATTACTACCATATAGAGGAGCTGGGTAAATGTATGTGTAAACCTAGGGTAGAGACCTGGAGAATGTGAAAGATCCAATCACTGGTAGCTTTAAACTATCTTCTGTTTAGACCAGGGGTCCTCAAACTAAGGCCCCAGGGCCGGATGCGGCCCTCCATGGTCATTTACCCGGCCCTCGCTCAGGGGCAACCTAAGTCTGAAGTGACTTGAAAGCACACAACAACAAAAATCCTATCTCATTGGCCAAAAACAGGCCCACACTTCCCATTGAAATACTATTAAGTTTATATTTGTTGAACTTGTTCTTCATTTTAATTATTGTATTGTTTTTAAATCTTTTGCACTACAAATAAAATATGTGTTGTGCGCATAGGAATTCATTCATTTTTTTTTCAAATTATAATCCGGCCCTCCAACAGTTTGAGGGACTGTGACCTGGCCCTCTATTTAAAAAGTTTGAGGACCCCTGGTTTAGACTATGCATGAACATACATTTGCCAGCTTTACAACCTTCACAGATCTTGGAAATAACGTATTACATGTGGCCATAATACCTAGAGGGTCTTACTTTAGATCATTGTTTTTCCCTTAGCTCAATGTTGAAGTTCTGAAAAAAATTGCAACATTGAAAGTTGTCTGAATTTCACCTAGTGGCTGTTTTAGACATTTACACGAATCTGTTATGCAGTGTTTACAGGAGACTCTGGCAGAAGATACTTCAACTGTACTTTCTAAAAAGAGAAACCAGTCTGTTTAGTAATCCTTGCAAATTCTGATTTATTATCAGTATATGTTTGATTTTATAACTATTTTATGTACCTATATACCCAGGGTCACTCAGGCAAAAGAGGTCCTGGGTAGGAAAAGCTTGTGAAACCCTGCTTTAGAGTAATGAGGCTCAGTTCTATTTAATATCAATGTTAACATGCCACCCTTTTGTACAACCCACAAAACTTGTTGATTACTTTGACTTGTTGTGTTGGGCCATTCCACACAGTATAAAATGCTGTAACTACATTATACCACTATGATTTTGCTTTAACTCTCATATTTACATCCTATTGAATCTTGTGTATTGTAATAAAGCTCCCTGGCAAGGACTTCTATATGTCCCTCCTTAAACTACAAAACCCATGATTTCATAGAAACATCGAAATTAAAGTGGTGTCATATTGTGCTGGATGGAATATCCCCTCCCACTTTTTGGTATTCTCTCAGCTGATTGGGGGCAGTTTTATTACTTTTGTGTGCCCCCCCCCACAATCCCCTCCCCACAACAGCAAAAGTAACACATTAATAATATATCACTAATAGCCAATGTAACTTTTTTCCAAACTGGAATAATAAACTCTCTATCGCCCATCCAATTTTCAAGCTATTTTTGAGGACAGTTGTACAATAGTTCTAAAGCCTTATTTTGATGGTGTTTAGGGCCTAGACCATCATGGCTATCTTTGCCTAGTTTGTCAAAAGAATAGGATTTGCTCTTTCAAGATAACAGTACTAAACACTACTTTGTCTTAGGTGATGCAGGTTGTATTTATTTTTACCATTCTCAAAAAATTGCCATGCTCTCAGCAGACTGAAACACAACTAAGAAAACATATTTGATGACATGTAGTGCAGAGTAGACTGTTATTTGAATACAAGAATTTTCCATCACAATCCCCTCTAGGAAAAGTTTATTTTATAAATCTGTGTAATTGGTTTGGCTTTTCCAGCAGGCGCACTGTTCAAAAGACGTTTCAGTTTCTATTATATGCACTGATATTTATGCCAAGGATGGACACAGTGGGTTTGGAACACAGGAAAAGTGTTGGCTTCAGGGACTAAATGAGACCTGCTGAGTTAGATCTGTTACAACATATGTTTGTTTATCATGGGAATATTCCTATTTGAATCGACAATGAGCAAGAGCTGCCCAGAGATCTGTGTCAAAGCTGTCCCTTATTTCTTCATACTTTCCTGCTTTGCCTCTTCTTACTCTCAGGTTCTAGAATCATAGAATCAAGGAGTTGGAAGAGACCTTGTGGGCCATCCGGGCCAACCCCCTGCTAAGAAGCAGGAAAATTGCATTCAAAGCACCCCTGACAGATGGCCACCCAGCCTCTGTTTAAAAGCCTTCAAAGAAGGTGCCTCCATCCCTTTCCGGGGTAGAGAGTTCCACTGCTGAACAGCAATCGCAGTTAGGAAGTTCTTCCTAATGTTCAGGTGGAATCTCCTTTCTCTACATTGATATAGCCTTGTTTTTATCTCTTCTCTCTTCTCTCCTCTCTTATCTCACCCTGAGTTTTAACATTTTGTCTTGCACATGCGGCCCGCTTATTGTCATCGTGATTGTGGATATTGTATTTGTATATTGCTCATTGTATTCATATGTTTTTATGTATTTTACTGTGTTGTTGCTTGTGTTTTGGTTTTATTTTATTGTAATTTGTTGTTTGGGCTTGGTCTCATGTAAGCTGCCCCGAGTCCCTGTTTTTTTTTTTATTATTATTATTATTAATAATAATAATAATAATAATAATACACAACCTTTTCTCTTCTGAAAAAACATCATTGATGAAAATCCTTACCAGCTGTGCAAAAAGCCTCTTATTGTATACAATATCAAGTTTTTATGCAAAATAATTGTTGTACAGAAGCCCACATGCTTTGAAAAAATACATTATTTCCTGCACACAACAATACTTGACTTTTTCCCCTCTCACAGAACTTGGCTTTTTTTTCCTCAACACGTTATCTTCAGAAAGGTTTTTTCTCAACACGTTATCTTCATAAAGGTTATGAATATTCTTTGCACATGTAAAACACAGTTGCAGATGTAGATGCTTACAGTAATAGGTTAGTACATATACATTGCTATTTACATGCACAAATGCACACCAGATATTGCTGCTTGCACCACAAGTGTGAGAGCAAGTACATTTCAAGAAGGGGATAAGAGTTTGAAAGTGTGTATGCAAACTGTTCTGGAAACTATTAGTAATAGGCTCAAATATTTCATCTGCTTATTTATATTCTACTAAATTAAGCTTTGCCAATTTAAGCTCCATTCCAGCTTTTGATATATACTGTCATAAATGAGTATGCATCCTGCCAAGATTAATGCAGTCCTTTCAGACATCTAAACTCAGGCCTACATCGAGTATTATGCTGATGGCAGCAGCAGGACTTTCTTTTCCTTCTCCCTTCTCTATAGCCACACCTCAGCCAACTGAGCACTTACTCTGGGTTGTTTCTTTTCCAGAATAAGTTTTAGATAGGTGTTGGGATTCCAGCAGAAGGGTCCTTCAGCTTGTGTGTCTCAGTTCATGTGCTCAAGTACCAGGATATGTTGCCTCCAAGGAAAGGGATTGCTTATCCCTCTTATCAAGTATATATGATACTCCAATATGTTTTCATGATTAAATAAACCCCCCATGAGAATCACAGAAGCTTATTCAAAGTGTGCACAAGAATCTAACTTAACTATGTCTTTAAAAAAAGGAAACCAGAATTGTCTTCAGGTTATAACTTCGAAATGTTTGAGAGCGGAAATAAGCAATGCAAATAATCAAGGGCAGTGGATTTCAAAACATTTCTTTCCAAGATCATTTTCATATAATTTTGGCTAAGAAACAAAAGGAGCAGAGATAAAGCCAAAAAGAAGAGAAAAGTTTTCAAGATAGTATTCAATAGTACTTAAAAACTGGGAGTTTATTTTGGGCTGTCATATAGCCAATGTATTTTCTACTAATAGGTTGGACTCCTACTAGTATTACTCCTACATTTGTCTTACAGAAAGAATTACCTTCTGAAGTGTGCTCCCACCCTTACTGTTGCTAGCGTGCTACCCCAATGGCCATTTGGTGACCAGGGAAGACAGCCAGGTAGGGTCCCAGGATTCTTTTTAAGGTTTAGGTGGCAGACCTCTTATTTCTTTTATGCCTAACTGCAAAAACACAGCTAGTTGCCACCTGGTTGCCCCTTCTGCCACTTAATGGCCAGAAAAGTAGATTACATATGTATATGGAGGAGGAAGACAAATTCCATTCCACCAAGAGTCTAATCTTACTCTGTCTTGCTCCAGTAGCAACAACTTACAGCGATCACTTTAGAGAATGCTCTATCAGAACATATTTGGCCAGGTAAATTTTGCCACTGGAACAAGGCAGTAGTGCATATTGTGCTGACAAATACAAGTTAATTGAATGTACTAGCGATATAGATTAGATCAAGTTTATAAAATTCTGTGCATCAGATTGCAATCATTCATTTTCTTTTGGCACGATTTTGACCCAGACATTTGGCATATATGTTTGTCATGTCTTTGATGGAAAGATGATCCCTTTCTTTCAGAAAAGTAGTCTGAAGCTGAAGGGAAAAGCAAGGGCATGATTTTAAGTCAGTGTATACGAACCCGTTGCCCACTTTCAATGTCTCAAATAGTTAACACATTCAAATGTTAATAATGGAATGATAGTCATACCCTGCACTTGCTTATTTTAAAAAAGCTCTATAGTTGTGTATTTTGTTACTAAATTAAACATTTTTTTAAAAAAATGTAAATTCTCTACATTCCTGATTCATAGATCACAACAGTACAAGTAAATAGGATGAAGTTAGTTTTTTTAGTGATGAGCAAAGCTATTAAAACTGACAGCCTTTGTTTGATGGCCCTATTATCCTACTGCCTGATTGTTTAGGGATTTCCCTGATTAATTATTGCATGAAATATAATATTACCTTGTCTCCGTATATTTAGTCATAGCTTGTGTGTGTATGTGATGTGTGCCTTCAGTAATTTCCAATTCATAGCAAACCTAAGGCAAACTTATTATGGGGTTTTATTGGCAAAAATTGTTCAGAGTGGGTTTGCCTTTCCATTTCTCTGAGGCTGACTTACTCAAGGGCACCCAGTGGGTTTCCATGACTGAATGGGGATTTAAATCCTGCTCTGGAGTCATAGTTCAATACTACAACTACTATAGCATGCGGGCTCTTAACTTTAGTCTTTATAGAACATTTTGGCAGAGTTATTCTCAAGTCCTTTTTCACAGTGAGATTTTGCAAACAGAAAATAATTTCTGTGAATTTGAGTAAATTGTTGTAGGATAAGTAATGACAGAATTCAACGACAGTTACAGTGAATGGGTTCATGAAAGAGCAAGTTACAGAGATGGTCCTTTTGCATTGAATGTAAATGAATGAATCTTGCAGCCAGACTGATTCTTTTGGGAACAATTTCATCAATGTTAAATGTTCTTTTAGCTCTTACTTGGCTCTTACTTCCATAATGGGTGCTAGGAGGAAACTTGGCTATGTTTTTCTTTAATAATTTTTGTTCCCATACTATTCTTATGGGAACTATAAGAATAGTAATTATTAGGAACCATGTGTACATTTTTAAATAATAGCCTCACGAGGAATATAAATGTCAGGTTGAGGTTAGGTGAAAACTTTATTTGGTCAGGGATTTTAAAACAGGCTTTACAATATAACAGAATAAACTTGAAATTGAGGAAAAATGAATGTAGGAGAAAGTGAAACTGGAAGATTAGGTCACATAGCAGAGAGATTCAAGTGCTCATACCTATCCAGTCAAATTTGTGGTTCTAATTCCACATCTTTCTTCTTACTGGTTCTTCATCCCTATGTTAGACAAGTTTAACATGACCTTCTTTATACTGGGAAAAAAGCTGTACCACTTGAATTCCAACAGTGTATCTGGTTAACATTTCCATTTGATTCACTTTTTTGCTAGAGGAAGAAAGTTTGAAGAAAATAATCTGATTTTTTTAAAATGCAGTTGAAAAACAAACCTGAGAGATCTTTCAATTCACTGTTGACACAGTAGGAATGTGTTTTACCTCAATAGCATTAACGTTTTGTCTTATACATTACAATTTCTGCAGCTCTCTCATTCAATTTAGGAATTTTTTAAACATAAAAGGACAAATATCTCCTTGCATAATAGAATCCCATGGATTTTTACTCAAAAGTTCCCCTTCTCCTCATATGTAGTAGAACATATTCCCAAGGGAAAGATTGATGACAGTATTTTATGATACTAGTGTTTGTTTTTTGCAGTTTCAGGGTATTTTGCTCTATACTGTAGAGCCATATTGTATTGAAATGTGTAAAAAAAAGTTGTAACACAGAATAAAAGGTCTCCAAACAAAAAGCAAAGCAAAAAAACAACAACATACACTAGTATCAGAAAACAAATACTGGTAAGAGAACATATTCAATATTTTCTATTGATTATTATGGGTAGGAGAATATTTGAATAAGGGACTCTCCAAACCAACACAGTTGGTTGGGAGAGCGATTTGCCCCTCCCCCCAGAAGGCAGAGAATGGAGGTTCCTTCGAACCTCCTAGAAGAAGGGAGGAGGCTGGCTGATCACGTGAGCCAGCCTCCTTCCTTCAGTCTTGTTAGACTTTCTACCCGCCACTCCCGCCCATTGACAGTATATTTGGTTGCCCGTTGGAGCCGGGTAGGAATTTTTTGCCTCTCATGTTCTGGGGGGTTTTTTTCGCCTACCCTATACTGTTATTAGGGGCTAGCTGGGGTGGTCCGGTTTAATTAGGCTAGCATAAATAGCTCAGGAAAACACAGACATGGAGGTATACGCAAGGCACCCCTTAAGGGTGGGGGTCAGTGTACAACAATCACTCACCTAGAAGTCACCAAATGGGTGAGGGGACATCACTTGGCACAGAAATTGGAGAAGCCGATTACAATAATATGAGACAGGCTTCTCCAGACTTTTACCTTCAGGTTGCCTGGTTGGGGATCCAGGGCACACAGATATTACACACTAAATAGCCGAGGACGCTGCCTCGGCTAGCCACCAAGTTCCTAGACACATAGTTTAGTTCAGTTGAACTTAAATAGGTAACATTCAATAAAAGTTGCCCAATTTGAATCCATATCATTGTTGTCTGTCTCGTTATTTCTGGGGTCGAGGGGCAAAAATCCATGGGATTGTACTATAAAAGGAGGCATTTCATTTAAGGTCATTTGCTTTTCCTGGGAAACATTTGTTCTTCTAAATGTACATCCCTTAATATCCTGATCTCAATATTTTAATAATTTTCCTAAGGAATACATTCTGTGAAAATTCTGCCAGTGAAAATGTCAGGCCATGTGTCCCTACAGTTACAACAAAATGAAAATTTTGTGTTTAAGAATGTTGTCATGTGCATAAAAGCAGAAGAGAACAAGAATTAATGACTGTAGTCTCAGTCTCTTCTTTCTATTAAAATCTAGTGTGATAACATTCAACTGTGTTTTAAACAAACTATAATTCACAAGGGCAGTGCTGTCTCAAGCAGGCCTGCACAACTTGTGGCTCTCTTGGTGTTTTGGACTTCAGCTCCCAGAATTCCTAGCCATTGGGCATTCTGGGAGTTGGAAGCCCAAACATCTGCAGGACTATAGGTTGTGAAACTTGGTTTAGACTTACACGGTCACTTTATTGACCAAGACCTAAACCAAGCAAAGATCTGAAAAGGGTTACTTTTTCTAAAAAAAAATATTGCTTGCATTTTGGAAAATTCAGCCCTGCAATGTTGGTTTGAAATGTTAAATATTACAGAGTACAGTTTCTTTCCATTTATTTTAGTATTTATATCTCTAATCTGAAAGGCTTCTTTAATGATCAGAATACTGCCGTACTATCTAATATCACTCCATACATTTCAAAAAGTACTTCTTCTATCCACCTAAGTTGTTTTCAACACTGCAAGAGATACATTAAATAGTAAATGATCATTATGTTCAGATAAGATTAAAATTATCTTCCTAATTCTTTTTTATTCAAGGAAAGAAGGCCAACATCGCTAATATTCAAGGAAGAATTCAAATCATTTTAAGCATTTTCAAGCTACTTATATACATTGCATTCTAATAAGCCATTAATCACGTGCATGGAGGGGAATCTTTGTGATTGGATCTCATCTCTTCTTTGTGAAGTTGGAGGAGAAAGAGGAGGAAAGGGTCTCCTACATCTGTGCCATCATTCCCATTGTCTGAAGTTTCCACCAGGATCACTTTATAAGTCCAAGACTCCACAGATGGGGAAGGATGTCTGTGAGGAGACAGTCACACCATCTCAGAAGACCACAGAAATTTCACAAGAGGGGCAATACAGTCTGAAACTGTGGACCTTTTCAGCAGTTGTCTTTTGCGTGGTGCAGGCTCCCAATAAAGCAGTGGAAGAAGGCCTTACTGTGGATTCAGAGGAGCTGCCTCATCAGAAAGAAAGAGAACGCCACAAAGAGACTTGGTGTTAATCAAAGGTCCACTGATAAATGAGACACAGAAGGTTTAGTGCATGTCCCATTTTTCCATTTCTTACAAAGAAATAATATACTATATCTCATCAAATGAAATTTCAAGTGCAAATAATATAAACAACAAATTGTCTAGAGTGTCATCTTTAATGAGACAAAACAGTGTCATTGATTATAATTTTGAAGCCAACATGTGTATGACTCTCTATGTATGACTCTCTATGTGTGCATGCGTTTGTGAGAGAGGGAGATAGTAAATGCCTTTGGTAACCTAGAGTAGAGTAGAGTAACCTTGCTGAAAGGTATTTCTTGAGCAAGCCACTAGTGGGGAGTCAATGAGTCAGGATTCATCTTAAAGGTTAACACTAACAAAAATTTGTGGACACCACTCCATTTCATGAGATGCAATAATTCATGATTAAGTATTGCTCTCAAAGAATAGCTGTCCATATCTCAGTAATTTCCAGCAACAGCTTCTCTTATGACCTCATCAGATGAATGTCAGCTGGTGGTGGTGGCACTCAGGTTCGTATATTGCGTGGGGAATCCAGAGCCCCACGTTCTGCATCACCTGGATCCAAGTGAGGGTGATCACATGGAAGGGGGGGAGCATGAGCATGTGTGTGTGGCTTCCCCCATAGATTTTATGGCAACATGGGAGCTCTCCTGTGTTGCCCTGCCAGCAGCATGCACTGGCTCTTTCACCCACAAAGCCAGCATAGTGTCATGATGGGCTGGCTCCGTGGGTGACTGGGCTGAAATTGGTGCATGTTGCCAATTTTAGCCATTTCTGATAAGGTTATTATTAGTCCTGAAGACCAATAGTAACTAATCAAAGGTACTACTGCATCAGTTACACAGAACCAGAGTATGTAACATTCTGATGACATCTTTGTCCTTGTTCTTGCACAGTTGAACAAGTAAGCTTAGATTGATTTACTCTAACCTGATTTAACAATAAAGGAAAAGTTCATTTCAATGAAGGAAGTTGTACAAGTTAACACAAAACACGTCAGATGTAACAGAGAACATAGCACTGGTAACAGAGTTTCCATTTATGTTCACAGTATAGGCAAGAAAGGTTTAACAGACTCAGCAGTCATGACTGCCTGTTCATTAGTAGAGCTCCCTTTGTAAGCCTGGAAAGATCTGACACAAACTTCAACATTTAGGGCTTATTATTCAAGTACCACTAAAAAGATATTGCTATCCTAGCAGCAAAAATCAGCATGATTCCTCAATGAAATTTGTAACCATACAGAACTTTCCAGTACCATCTGTTTATTTAACAACTCAGCAGTTGTTCACCAGACATCCTATTCTGACCTTCAAGTGATGCTTTTAATCTTGGACAGTAAAATTAAGCACAAACATCTGCATTCCAGGTAAACAAAACACTGATAATGGGGAAAACATGATTTGGGAGAAGCATTGATATATATTGTTGTTGTATACCTTCAAGACATTTTTGATTTATGGCAGTCCTAAGACAAACCTTGGCAAAACTTGCATGGAGCATGTCTTGAAGGTATACAACTTCCTTTGAACTTGATAGAAGTGACTTACCAAAGATTACCCAGTGAATTTTCATGGCAGAGAGAATTCAAACTAGTCTCCATAACTATAGTCCAATGCTCAGACCATTGTACCACACTGACTTTGGTATTTACCTTTATGTATTTCTTGGGCTTATTTAGCTGCTTTTATTCTTGGGTTCAGCTAAAAGATTATGTTCATGCTGACAACCACCATAATCATTGACCGCTAATCACTCCATTGGCTGTCTTGTGATGACAGGATTCTGGGAACGATAGTCCAAAAATAACATTTCCAAGCTCTGATTCCTTACATGATTATTGAATGCCTGAAAAAGGATCTATTATAAGAAACAATTGATAAAGTAAGTTGCTTTAAACATGAGAATGATTCTACAGTATTGATGAGCACTGTAATAAGAACCGTTAAACGTACTAGAATTACTGTTCAATGTGCTCATGCAATGGACAATGGTGTGAGTAATTTGACAATTTCGGTGCTCAGAGGAATCTAAAATGTATTTTTATAAGTAGGGAAGCATTGGTAGGGCAATAGGAGAAGTTTTTCTGTAAGTACTTGCCAAATTTAATGAGATTCTTAGGACAAACAGAGTTTAGGAGGAAAGTCTTGGAAAACTGCCTGTGACTCCAGAGCAGGCCTGTGCAACTTATGGCCCTAGAGGTGTTTTCGACTTCAGCTCCCAGAATTCCTAACCATTGGACAAATTAGAGTCCCAAACACCTGGAGGTCCACATATTGTGCAGGCCTGCTCTAGAGGAAAGTGTGCAGTCATTTCTTCATTCTCCTGTGGACATCTCTACTTCTTTTCTTGTTGCCATGTTCCATGCTTGGTAAAGTCAGGGCAGTAGGAAAAAAGGAAGATTGCATTCCAGATGGAAAGACTCAGTCACTCTGAGACTGCAGGGCCTGAGCAGGGCTGTAGAGGATAGAGTGACTTGAAGGTGTCTGATTCATAGTACCGTAATACTTTTAAGTCAGTTTGAAAGATATCAACAATCACCTTTACCTTTCCAACTATACTAGCAAATCAGAATTGTACAAGATCTGGGCCCAAGTCCTTATGCAATAAACATGTGAAAAACGTTATTGGTGCTGTTCAGTTGTCACCAGCACAATGTTAAGTCTAAAATTATTTTACTTATGCAGTCTTTTCCAGAACATGTGTCAAACTGGCTAAAGACGCATCAGAACACCTCAGCTGGCAAATACTGCAGAAGAACATTGCATCTGTTTGCAGTGAATGAGCCTCCTACTGTGGTCTTAAATACTTTTATATGTAGCAAATGGCACCAGCATGAGAAAAATTATAAGGCCCATTTTTGTGGGTAAATAATTCAGTCATACAAAGTTCCACTGAGGAGGAAAGAAAATAAATGACCTGTCTGGATATGTCAGACAGAAGAGAACTTACCTGAAAATACTAAGTTGGTAAAATGAAGTTGTGCGTGTCCCCGTGTGACTAAAAAGGACCTTCTAGACATACCATGTCTGTTTCAAGGCTACATCTTAGCTGTAAGACATCTTCAATAGTAACATCAAAAACACTGAACAGTGAAAGAAATGCGTTGGCTGCGTCTCTGTGCTACTAAGAGCTATTGTGTGTGTATGTGTGCGTGCGTGTGCTAAGCTTTAAGCTTCCGTTCATATTTTCTCACACTTCTTTTCCTATATATCAAAACTATATTGAGAAATAGTTTGAATTATATGAAGCTGTTTATTTTCTGTGAAATGTTCTTCATTTATCTGAAATCGTTTTATAAATTGTTGTGCATGTTGTTTTAATTATACCAGCTCAGTAAATGCATCTTCTAAAATGCACCCCAATTTTAGTCTTTTGGATATCTTATAAAGAAAATTGGAATGCAATAAATTTCTGTTATCATGTTAAATGTATCTTCACATATAGGAATGCTATTAACCTCAATAGGGAAGATTAGGATGTTTATCAAATAACGAAGTATTTACCAGCTTGTAGGCAACTGGTCTTTGTAAACATTATCTGTTTTTACACACATATTCCATATTTTAATCTATTTGACTCTAAACAACAGCTTTGATCTTAGCAAACTAAATAAATTCATCTGCAACCAAAATCATGTTGTCTGATTTTATCTCTTAGAGATAATTATTATTTTGGAAAGATTTTGGCTCATTGTGTACATTATGTACCTTCAAGTTGCTTGTTGAATTATGGTAACACCGTGAATAGGGTTTGAATAGGAAGATTTATAAGTTATGAGTAAGCAGACTGGAGGGGAAAGCTGATCCCGAAGACCATGGATTCAACTGAATAGTCCAATCAAGTATTTAAAGTATATAATGTAAACACGTTTACATGCACATACTTCTTGTTAATAATAAAATAACCAACCGTAAGCCTTTTAAATCTTATGTATGGATCAACTTCAACAATTCAGAATTTTGGATGCATGTAAGGGAGATTCTGAGTGGATAACAATCATTCCATCTCTCCTCTCCCCAATTTCTTGAATATCTCAAAAGGATACCTTAGTGCATGCATCATTTAGTAGTTTCACAAGTGAGTGGCAATGAAAATGGGAAATTTCTTGTTGATTTGTTCCTGTTCGAAAGAGACAATAGGTATTTGTCTGGTTTTCTATGCCATGTGTCTTGTGAGACTTCGCTGACAACCGGAAATCACTTCATCACATAGTAAGTTGATTGTTCTTTATGTTAACGTTATTACCCATTTGAGTAGAGTTGTATGAAAATTTGAAAGATTTTTTTTTTTTTTTGCATTTGCAAGACAACAGACTGCAGGCATACATAGCTTTAAGGCACTTTGCTATTGAGTGCTTCACTGATACGGTGCTTTTCAATTATACAGTACAATGCCATTTTGTTGCTCATACTAAGTCTGTTTACAGCAATTTTCTACTTTGAATCTCAGAGTCATATTCTGGTAATTTTTAAAATTAGTTTTACTTGTGCATCTTTTTTTAGGCCTGGCACTGTTGCACACTTAATGCATGATAGCATATATACGTTTTTAGGTTCTTATGTACAGTAGCAAGTGAAGGAAAAAGACTATGATGTACTTTAAGGCGTAATTCATTTTATGGTAGTTGTCTGAATCTTAACTTGCTGTATTAGCAATGAAATTTGTTCTAGTACCGAATAATGTACTAACTGCTGAGACAGTTACATATGCTGGCACAGCAAAAAGATAAACTAGTACTAATTTGTAAATTTGCTAAAGGCTCAGCAATTCATATAAATCTGCATTAACCATTAACAGCATAATTGGTTTACAATCTTAAAGTACATGCATTAAACCTCACTTGAGTCAAAATGCTGACCTGATTCAAACAGTCATATCTTTGCAAGATATAAATGAGATGCAAACATCTTGTTCACACTTTGCTCTCATGAATAAGTATATGCCTGGCACAGCTGAAGTAATTTATGTTTAATAACGTTGACTTCTATGAGTTACTCTAACGTCCAGATGGCAACTGAGTTTTTGTTATTTTTCTTCATAGTAGTATAAGATGATTTTAATAATGAATGCAATGTTTTATATGTTTTAATGTGCAGATAATTTAAATTTTTAACTTAAGTGTATACTAACTGTTGTCCAAGGGCATTGAGTAGTTGCTATATGTAAAGCCACTTTGAGTCCCCTTCGGGGTAGAAAAAGGCGGGATACAAATAAGAGAAAATAAATAAATAACCTAGGATTTCTGTGGCCAGGCATCACTGCCTGTTTTAATGCCTGATTGGGATGCCTGCTTTGCCTGGCATCACAACGAAAAGAGAGGGGCAGCAGGGCTTATCTGTCACCCAACCTACATCTCCCTCTCTGTGACATTTCTTCATTAGACAAGGGAAGTGTCGCCATTCTGTAGAAGACCCATGCTGACTCCATTGGTGCCAGCACAACATGGGCAGGCTCCCATGTTGTGGGGAAAACCTCCAAAGATGCTTTCATCACAGTTGGAGGAGGGGTCTCCACTGGAATCATAAAACATCCCCAAGATAGGATGAAAGTATCCTAGGAAGCTAAATTTAACCCAACTTATGAGGCCCATAGATCTAATGAACTCAATGGACTTAAAAAAGACTGATTAAAAAGACAAAAACATTAAGATTTTTTCTTGTTTTTTCCAATCTTAATTTAGAGATCCATACACATTTTGTTTATCCTAAAATATTTTCTGTGAGCCCTCAGTGTGATTGTGCTATTTGCCCAGTATAAAATTAGAAAGAACAGGATCTCGTACTTTTCAATCTGTCCGCATGAAAATATTTTAATAGATCCTATTAAAAATGGCCACCACAATTTTCTGCAGATAAGCTTATGCAGGGAACCATAATTAGAAATGGCAATTGCTGCTCTGCTTCTCCTCAGCCCCCCTCAAATGTGGGGAAGGAGAGAGGGTTATCATTTGTTCTCCAGTTTGGGCCAGGGAAGGGCGATGTGGTGGGAGCTCCTCATTGCTGATCTTGTTACTGCTTCACACTGAGTTCCTAACAGAGGCAGGTTGACTTCCTTGCTCCCCCCCTCCCCCTTTTTATGGACTATATTCTTGTTCTTTTTTTTCACCCATATTCACCCGTATTCATTTCCCTACCTGTATTTGCATAGATGTAGACATTTTAAGATCAGCAATACAATCCACCGACAAATAAATAGATCTTTTCCTTCTCTTTTGCTCTCCCTATGTTTGTTCCATTTATGCATTTTTAAAAGGAGAGGAAAAGATTTGTTTGATATACACCCATAACTTTTACCTTTGACTTATTCATATTCCCCCAAAACATGCCCTCAACTTATATATGAGTTGACTTACATACAAATATATACTTTGTTATATGTGTGAAATTCATCTGTCATATTTTAGTTTGATAAAATATTATTAATGTATTAGTTTCCTGTGCATCTGCAGCTATGGCTGACCCTGATTCTTCAGAGGAACAAAACCAAAACAAATCTAATATGCAGAGAAGAATCCTTCGATCAAATAACTTAAGCATCATATTCACCAGCTTACCATGTCAAGTAGCAATTTCCTACAGAAAATGAGTCGCAAACTCACTGTATTTGTATCCCTGTTTTTATTGCTATGCTACTCAAAAGCAACCTATTCTGACAATTTATTGTTGTGACTAGAAATGGGAAACATCTTCCTCCTTCTGCAATTTCTAAGATATTCAAAACGCTGTTTTTTGGACTAATAAGCTTTTTCACCTTACACTATAATTTTGAGTAGACACAGTGGATGCTGAATGCAAGAAAGAAAATGCAATATTAGTCTTATTTTCTCTGCTCCAGTTTGTGTGCACTCATCCAAAACTATGAATAGAACTGACACACATATATGATTTATTAGCATAGAAGCAATCTCATATGCCTTTTCAAAGGTTTCTCAGTTGATGAGAATCATAAACAGCAAGCTATTTGGATGTTCCTGTGCGGGTTCCTATGGCAGTCAGCTAGCCACTGGGAAGAGAATGGTGGGCTAGATATAACTCTGTTCAGCTTCAATGTGTCAATTCTTAATTTTGTATGTGGAGGCCATGATCTCTTGTTATACATATGGAATATTAATGTACACAATTCTATACACACATGACCCTAAGAAGTGATTTTAAGATAAGGCTGAGGCTTAAAATGCACATGAAGTGATAGATGTCGCTTGCTTTACACATGTATCTTTACATCTCTTTGATCTAGAGGAATATAAAGTTACTTTTTTTGGAGATTTTCTTGAAAGAAATGAAATGTTACAATTTTATTTTGTGTGATTATAAAGATATTAATGTCAAGCCAATTTCTTCTTCAAAAATGTTGTAATTACTGAGTGCCTGTCCTTGTGTGAATACACGTCTATTATCTGAATCAAATCCAGCATGATCAAAATATGTATCTACAGAAGAAGGGAAGAAACAACTGAGGGAGGAGAAGATGCCCCATGAAACAGAACACATGGTAAAGCAGCAGTTCAAGGCAAAGCATCAGAGAAATACTGGAAGAAAAGAAACTTCTTTGGCTCAAAGCTAGAGGATTTCCACCAGATGGTTTTCAGGGATGAATTCCAAAATCCACTGGAATACTTTGTATAATAATGGCTGTTTTCATAAATCTGAAGACTGTACACTTATTCCAGATCAATCTGATTAGAATCAGCATGACAAACTTTATTTAAAATATCTGTTAAAATTTTATGGACCACAGTTTTGGATTTTATGTTCATAGTCACAAAAGAAGAGATTGTCTCTTTCTCAGTGACAGAATGCAGAATTTAAATGCAGAAATTGACTAAAGGTCATTGATTTTGGAAGTTGAAGGCCAAAATATCTGGAGGTCTGGAGTTTGGAAATCATGGGACTGGGTTTTACAGAGCAATGGCCTGACTAGTCTGTAATCCTAAATCAGTAGGGAATTATTTAACTTTGAATAAATATTCATACATATTTGGGCCATGCTTAAAAATAACACATGGACAGTCACAGTGCAAGTATATCAAAACTAAGGGTCCCTCCCCAATATGCTATGCTGAGTTATTTCTTCCATAGGTGTTTGAACAAAATTGGTTGACTCATTAAGTAAAGTAAGGTTGTACAGTATGACAGTCCTCAGCTGTTACTCTGAAGGCAGCCCGAAAGGATCATGGATCATGTTGAGAATCTTGTGTGTAGCTAAGGGGTTTGATTTGATGGCTCATAGGACCCATTCAAGTTCAGTGATCATGCTGACTAGCCATATCCTCTACTTATATTTGTAGAAAAGCAAAAGACCACAAGTTAAATCTTGTTTCTCTAATTAAAAGGGGATTTCAGTGAACAAAACTGAGAAAGGCCTCTCTGTGTATGCATCGGTTGCACATTTAAAAATATCTAAAAGCAACAACAACAACCCCCCCCCCAAAAAAAAAACAAACTCAACAACCTTGTATAAAACTTTGAAGCTTCATTTTTAACAACTGTGGATTTGGGTTTTTTCTTTCTTTCATATGAACCAGAATGTCTATCTTTGTGTAGGCAGTGGCATAGATTAATATCATCAGGGATTCCATAGAACAGGGATTCTTGATTTGGCAGCCATATCACTACATTTTTGAA